TTTATTGAACAAGTCAGGATACAATTCTCAGGAAACAGAAAAGGCGCTAATCCAATCACCGAACGCGCACGGCCAGTCTCGACGTAAGGCCTTCTCGCTAGCCCTAGTACGCAGACGAGAACAAGTCAGGATACAGGTAACAGATCACGAGTCTCAGACTCGTGATCTGATTGGCTATTGAAACCTGACTGTGCCCGTTCACTTACAGCGCACAGGGGCCTGCTCTGTTTAATCTGAAGGCCCCGAGCAAATGTAATTTACCTGGCAATACAGCTAGCTGAAATATGATTGGTTAAAAACTCTACCATAATAAATAACTTATTTATCGAGTGGCTTTCAATGTTATTTAAAATAACATTGAAAGCCACTCAACTAAGTGGAAATAATACAACGTAAAGAATACAGAGAATAATTTTGTTTACATATTTATGAAAACAAAATAACATAAATTATAAAATAACATAAAATACATAAAAGTAAATTTACTTTTCTGAGAATGTTTAGGCCAGCAGAGAAGGCCTTGCTGGCCCTCAGGGTCCGCCACTGTGTAAAACGCAGTAGTCTTCAAAGGTTATTGTTTTTAAGTTTTACGATTAGTAATAGTTGAACTTGCATAACTTTTTTTTGCAATTACCCATGCCAAAATATAAAAGGGGTAAACAGTTGAGATGAATAAAATCACAGTAACTCTATGATTATTGTTATCTCTCAGTTTACAATTCGCGTAGTTCCCCCTCTTATTTGACTTACAGTGCCCTCTACAGTCTGACAGATTCATAAAGCCTGATAGCTTCATGAGTGTTATATCGAGTTCCAACATTTAAATTTTAGAATCTGACTCATTATTGTTTTGTTCTGTTTTTTAATTTGGTAGCCAAAATTAGAAAACATGACTTCAGTGTGCCCTTTCTGGTTTCCTGATTATGATAGGCATGCAGGGAATAAGCATTGTTCTAAATAATTGTAAGTTGATCCTACATTGCCTTTTAGAGTTCATAAAAAATGATGTGCTATGTTTTAACAACCGGTTTTATTTTAAAACTTTAAATTTTGTTTTTCATGTGGTCAGAGCTGAAGCATCCTTCTATTCCACAGCGTTTGATCAAATCTCTCCAGTAACGCATGTTTAGTGTGGTTGCAACTGGTTATCAACAGGGGGCAGTATGCACTCAATAATAGCCGAGCAACAAGTGACTCAAACATGCGTATTAATAATTTTAATAGGGAGCAGATGTACTGCTTCATCATGTCTAATCTGATTTTACTTATGCATAGGAGATCCATTAATTCTGCAATATCTAAATGTAAAGCTTAAATACTTCAGGGAGTGTAAAACCATCCTCTTAGCTTCTCATATCTGGTCGCATGATGCATTAAGCACATGTGGGTGTCTACAAAGAGCACAAAGAGGCATGCATAAGGTCTGTCCCTGTGAGGTTTGATGTCACTACCATTCAAATCGAATGCAGGCCACTTAAAGGTTCGGTACGTCTGTCGGGTATTCCAAGCTCCGGAATTTAGGCCACAAGGTTACAGTGGCTTGACATAATTCATTGTAAAATCAACAGTTTTTTCTTATTTTTTAAAAATTATATTGTCTTGTAGCTGGTAAACCGAAAACACAGTACAGTATTATTTGTGTTGATGCCATCATCAGTTACTGCCAGCAATGAAGCCAGACAGATTAACTCGAGCGGATTATTCACATTCTGCTTATATGACAAGAATGTTGTCTTGTGCTTTCTGTCTGCTGAGCACTTTTGGGCTTCAAATCAGATGAAATCATGAATTATGTAAACCCGTGTCGACCAAACTCCAAATAATATCAAAGCTACTCGTTTATTCAAAAAGAAATTGAAAAAGCAAATGAAGAAAATAATTTGTAATCACATGACTGGTTTCATGAGTCACTTGAATGGTCAACTTGCCACTTGCAGACTTTTATGTAAACAACTTTTATGACAAATACACTCAACAAAAACATCAACACTTTTCTTGTGACTTCTCATGGATTCAAGACATCCATCCATCCGTCCATTATTGACAGCGCTTCTTTTGGGTGATGGGTGGGTTGGAGCCTATCCCACCTGACCTTGGTTGAAAGGCAGGGTACACCCAGGACTGGTCACCAGTCAATCACAGGGCACTTAAAGAAACAACCATTCACATTTACATCGGCATCTATGGGCAATTTCGAGTTTTCAATCAAGCTAACATGCAGATTTTTCAAACGTGGATGGAAGCCGGAGTGTCCGGAGAACATGCTCGACAAGAGATTCAAACACAGATCTTTCGAACCTTTTGATTTGGAGGAAGACGTGCTAAACACTCCCCACAATGCCGTAATACATTCACCTGGCAGATGAGTCAAGATTAGCGCCGACATGCTCTGGACTGGTTGATAGTGTTCATGAATTCCTTGTTAGTAAATTCCTTCCGTCCTCAACAAAAGCTTCAAACAGAACATATTCAGTTGGCAGACAACCTGTCAGTGGATGCTATGACCACCACTTGCATCATACAGGGAAACACAACTCTTACACACTCGTTTGTTCAGGTTATTGTGCTGACAGGCTCTCTGCCATTCTTAAACGTTAAATTTGGGCTTGAACAAAGCAGTTTCCCAAAACTGTATTGCAATTTGTTGTTGTTGTTGTAAATTTAGGAACCAAGTAACAGAGACAAAAGCTTTCAACAAAATCTTTCATTAGTATTTTTTGTTGAGTATACTTTTGACACAAGCAGCTTCCAAAAGTGCTAACTGTAGAGTTTTTACTGTACAGTGCAATGCCAAGTAAACAATACATCACATTAGTTCGTTCATTTGATATCCAAGAAGTTCACAGCTCAAAATTTCAGCAATCCAGTACATTTAGAATAGAATTGACTCAGAACTCAGGACGCCTGCAGCATCCAAATTCACCATCATCAGTTCCCTTTGGGATTTATCAGCAACTTTGGGATGTATGCACCTTCTTTTTTTGTTCAAGTGTCTCATCCACTCTTCCCGCAGTACAGCTGTCCTCTGGTCTCCTTCACTTTATCTCTCTGGCTCTCCGAAGGCTTGGAGTCTCCCCTAAGGTCACTGACCATCGCTTGGAGGGTTCTGAACTTATCCATCCTGCTGCTCTGGGGGCCCTGATTCCTCATATCTGTACCCTGAGATGCACTAAGGGAGCGCACCGCCGCCAGGCCGCGTTCCTTCCCAGATGGACGACGGGGTGTGGTCCTGGTGCCGCGTTCCTCCGGGTCCTCCATGTCTCTGATGACCTCGCACAGGTAGCGGGCCAGGTCCTGGCTGGAGAAGGAGAGGGCCTTCTTGGAGCGACGGAGTGTCAGAGGGGATGACAGGATCTCGCTCTCTGAGGGCGGTACGGCCAGACGGAGAGCGATGATGGCGCTGCCGTTCAAGTTCCCGTTCGACAGCCCCTTCCTGCTGTCCGGTTGCGGGGGCTTATTCTCGGGGCAGGAGATGATGCCTTGCGGATAGCTGTAGCGAAGCGACTGTGCTGGGCTCGGATGGAGGGAACGCTGCAGCTCCACCATGTTGAAAGCATTCTGAAAGAAAAAAGAGCCGCGACTGAATTTAATAAATTAGCATCCTGTGGAATCTTTTTAGGAACTTCAGAGCTAATGGAAACCAGCAGTGCCACATGACACAAATCTAGCTCAGCTCATTCATGCGCCAGCAAATGAAACTGCTCTTGACACAGAGATGAAGATCCAGCTGGAAGGAGGAGAAGCTGGCAACAACAGCACCATTGATTAGACCATTAATTAATTATCTGATTGCAAAGAGGGGAAGCAGCTATTACCGCCACTCTTAAAATGGTGGAATTAGCAGCCTTTTGTATAGCTCAATTTCAGCTAAGTGACTCACATGCCTGGCTTTTAGGGAGCTGATTGTAAATTTGATAGTGATTGTATGCGTGTGTCCTATGTGCAATCTGAAAATGAATGACGCTGCTGGGGTATCATATTAATTGTATTTATACACATCACACACACACACACACACACACACACACACACACACACACACATACATACACATATATATATATATATATATATATATATATATACTGTAGTCTGTTTGTATTTATGTTGAGTATACTTCCATTTTGCATGTCTATTCGATAAGGCCCGGGCAAGACCCGCACAAATGTGATGTCGGCCCTATATGGCTGGTTGAAGGGGGGCCAAATGTAAATCCATCAACATTCGTCTCTGGGCACATGAAATGTGCGCCCCAATATGGTTCCGTATCTTCAATGAAGAGCAGCTACTGAACATGTACTGTATAAAATTTAGCGAACGACTCCGTAAGATTTTTGCATCCTCCGGGCAGAAAACATGTCACAGATGAATAAAACAACTTTATTCATCATTACCTCTACATTTCTCTTATGCATTTAAAATTTGGTGAAAATATATCTTGAAATACACTCGTTTTCATTTATAATTTTTTTTTCATGTGGCATACTCGGTGGGTGGTGGGGGAGCATTACTAATGTGCAACCCTGTTGAAGACAAGTACTTGAGAAAATTAATGGATGGATGGATGGATGGATAGCTGGTGTTCTTGCGCTATTTAGTGCTTTCCCTGCTAATGGGTCCTGCCTGCCTCATTCCTTTCACACCACAAAACCATGACAAATCCATAGCTTTCTTGTGGGCTTAATTAGGTGTCCTTTCTTTTGATATAAGGTATTAACTATTCACATCATTTCAAATATTTACCAAAACAATGTAAAGGCTTAAATTTGTCACATAGCACATTAGTGAATCGGGAGAAAAAATGAAAACCTAATAATGTAAGCTCTGTCCTTAATCCTTGTCTTTTTTTTCCTGAGTGATGGCACTGTGTGCTATCCAAAAACAAATAACTCACTATAATACAGTATAAGAGTGGGTAAAATGGTCCACAGGAATTTACTCATGTATCATGTGACACTGTGTGGCTGCCTCTTTCATCGTAACAAATGTAATATAACCATTTGGATCACCTTTTTGTAAAAATAACATTAGTTTTCATTCAGAACAAGTCTATAAATAAAAAAGGGTATAGCAGGTAAATAGTGCAGCAAAAGTGAAATACAATCGAGAACTTGAAACAAATAAATATGGAGAAAACAACAACAACAAAAAAAAGTCAAAATGTCTGCCAGATGACAGCCCTGATGTCAAAATCCAGAGTGAAAACTGAATAAGATAGACATCAGTCAGTGTGTGTCTTCCTCCCACTGCTGCTCGGTGATTCTTTGCTTGTAAGTACGTAAATGTTTACTAGAACTATAGTTACTGTCACTACATTCAGCTCCGTTCACATCAATGGTGTCTATTTATGTGATCAAACCAGGAGAGAAAAGAGATATTTTTTGTCTCGCATCATAACTGCCACCACAGATGCAGCCAGTCCTTGCTCTTGCATTAATTCAACTTCTGAGATATATATATATATATGAATGCATCAGCAAATCAAATTTATTTTCTTTATCCACTTAAGACACTGCTGTAAGTCAAATGCTCCACTTTTGTTTGAGGCCGTCAACTCTGCTTCACTTCCACTTTTGTTCAGGACCTCAACATAATTTTGCCCGGCGGCTTTCTGTGAATCAAAGGCAGCAAGGCTGCTCCCGATGGAGTGCGGCTCGGAAAAGAAATCAGACATCCTGCCACTCAACAGGTCTGAGTCAGAGCTGACAATGCAGGTATGCAGAATAGGCCATCGGCCTGTGGCCAAATCAGACAGAACATATCCAAAAGTATGCGACTTCTCTGCTGGATATCCTGGATTCATAACTGGATTTCACACTGAACACTTGCAGAGTTGAAGAACAGAGCAGATTTTCTTCTTATTGATAACAGGATGGACATAAGGAAAAAACAATCCATGGACAATAGTGTGATGAGAACAAGTGGATAACACAATAATTATTCCATTCCTGGAAGTGCTGATTTCACTCTAAATCAAAAAAGTGTCTGACACTTCTCAACCCACTCAATGTTGTAGCCCGTAGTGTTAACAGCAATGCAATGTTGCAATAGTATTGGAGCCAGAATGTCTCAACAACTGGAAAAACAAATCGCATCCTTCAGTGCAACATATTCATTATATGATCTTCAATAAAAGAGCTTTTACATATTTACTCATATTGTGGAACATACATTCATATAATATATTCCAATATATGTCAAGTCAAGTTAAAATTAAATTAATTATGTTTTCTGAAGAGTGGATGTGAGCACCAGTCTCGATTGTCGGCTGACATGGGCTCCAGTTCACTCGTGACCCTCAACGGTACCAGAAAATGGATGACTGAATGGTATTATGTAGTTACAAAAATAAGAAATGGGGTATTTAATACATACATGTTGCTATATTAATGCATCTATAGCAATCTCTTTATAATCAGAATCAGATATCATTAATTTGGGACTGTGGAACCAACGATACGTTATTTTTATTATTATTATTATTATTATTATTAGTCTTACAAGTACGGCCAGTGGCAGGCCATCCATTTGGAACTGAGCTTTCAGTCAAGATTTACCCATATTAATCCATCCATCCATCCATTTTCTGATCCACTTATCCTCACCCTGAACTGGTTGCCAGCTAATTGCAGGGCACACAAAGACAAACAACCATTCACACTCACAATCACACCTAGAGACAATTTAGCATGTTGCACTAACCTGCCACACATGTTTTTGGAATGTGGGAGGAAACCGGAATACCCGGAGAAAACCCACGCAGGCACGGGGGGAACATGCAAACTTCACACAGGAATCGAACACTGCACCTCCACAGTGCGAGACCGATACGCTCACCAGTCGCCCACTGTGCCGCCCCACCCATGTTCATCTACTTCTTCATACCATGGAACCCATCGATATTGTACAAAAATGCAATATACAGCACACAGCTGTGCCACATATATCGTTTGGAGCAGTTCAGCATTCAAATCTATTTAATAAGTGAATAAAAATATAACACATTTAAATAAAATACAGTACATCACACTCACCAGGGATGATGATTATTACATATATGAATGTGTGCAGATTGCTATATATATGTATTTCTCATCGAAGTTACACGTTTTGAAATTTGAAATCTGATTGGTTCCCATTGCTAATCTACTTTAAATAATATTGACCAGGACTACTGATTTTGATGGCACTGGGCAGATTAGATTGGCAGCACATTGTGACAGAAATCTGATGCGACCCAACAGCCACATAAACCTACCAAAGCAGTGCAGCCAAGAAAAATGGTCCTCAAATAATTCAGGTTGTAAACGTGGGTCAGTGCTTGTGATAGTGTTTAGTCAAGCAGACCAGGCCTTGCTGGCCATGTCTGCTCACCACTGAGTAGGCATATGTCAACATAGAAAACAAACGGCAATACATATACTTCAAAAAGTAATGGCGTTTTATAACGCCTGCTACCTGGTCCTGCTCGCCTCCTCCTTCCTCGTCGTAGTTGAGCACATTCTCCCGGATGTCCTCCCACTCGCCGTGGTGCGCCGACACGTGGTACACGCCCTCTTTCAGGCCCTTGTGTCTCCTCCAGCAGGAGTACAAAAAGAGGCCCAGCATCAACACTGAGGGGTGCCAGAGAGCAGGTTAGCTTTGGGTTGCCCGCCTCTCTCCCATCCAGGAAGTATATCGAATATATGAAGGTGTAAATGAAATGTACACAATGAGTGGAATGTGGTGAATGACGCGACACAGAGTGAAGGAACAGCATGTGCTTCCCGCACAACGTGATCATTTTGAAAAAGCAGACACTGCATGGCAACGTGGCTGACATTTTTCAGGCTATAATTTGAGCCAAAAAGATCCAGTGGTTCTTCTGATTGTACTGGTAGGACACAGTCACAGAGGCCCTTGCACCCTTTTACTTATACGTTCCCTGTCTTATCAAAGACAGCAGCTCCCTGGAGGCCTCTTGACTGAATCTTTACCCTTCCCCTACTTTAAGTCAAAACCTCGCCGGCTTGACTGAGCGCGCACAGTGGAATCCTGCCAGAGCCGAGCGTGGCAAAGTCCTGAAGCGTACATATCAATCAAAGCAATTGTGTGCTGAATTATACAACATGGTGGAGTGACCTTTAAAGTCAATTAATCGCACCCGTTTTCCCTTCCCTTTTCTTTCCTTTCTACAGTATAATACATTTAAGTTGAGTTGAGTTACTCCTTAACACCGACACTTGTTTTTTTTCCCATTTTTTTTCTCTCTGTAGTTACGTTGGTTGCTTCCCTCACCTCGCCAATTCATTACTCATTAAGTAAGGCAGCGTCCTTGTTTTTTTAGTACTTCTGTGGCCTCTACCTGCCCTCGTTTTTTATTTAATCTCCCACGCTAGATGGGAACCATTTCCAGCGTTCGAGGCGTCGGTGTAATTGGAAGTCGTCAGAGAAATGCAGGATAATCACATTAGTTCAATGTACAGTCATTTGCTTCAAAAGAGAAGAATGCACCAGCAGTCCTCTGAGGCCATTTGGACAGGCAAATATTCATTATAAAGTCACCACACAGAAACGCCTTTCCTAATTAAAATCTCTAGCATTTAGTGCAACTTCACTTTCACACCTCTGCATTTGGGTGTTAGTTGTCTGAGCGGGCCCAGATAACATCGCCGAAAATACCACAAATCCTGATGAGTGCCCCTGACACTTCAGCTATGCTCCTCCACTGCTTACAGGAGCTGATCATAAAATAACATCAAATATTTCATGCGCAATGCGGAGGTGCTTGTAGTGTAACCTTTGGACAATTTTCGTCACGAGTTTATGCTTGCATCCACCGCCTACTCCGGGGTGAGATGTGCAAGAGTTGTGTGGCGTGATCAATAATCACTCGGGGTGGACACAAACACCACAACCATCCATCCATCCGTAATGCTGCTGTCTCGTTGGCCTTCTAAGGGCTACCGTGGCCCGTGTTGCTTTGTGCATTATGGATGAGTTGGCGAAAACAACCACAACGTCTTGATCAAAACACTTGACCCTGTTGGCTGGAACTGCAGTCTGAGGTTAATTAGGAGTAGAGAGTACCGAGACAGCATGATATGTGAGAGGACGTATAAGGGATGGAAGAAAACTGATAAGGCAACAGAAGGAAATGAGACAGGTGAGAGATGGGCAAGAGTTGGAAAAACATCACTTAGTTTCAGGGGATAAAGCAGACACTTTACATGATCCATAGCCCACGAGCGAAGCTAATTTGTCCCACTCTTCGCTCACAAATGGGAACATTTGACGACAGGCTAATGAGGCTTGGCTATTCAGACATAAGCCTGACTCAGTCAATACACGCCGAATTCACACCCCAGTTCATCTGTGATGCCTTATGTAAAATTTAATAATGGATGATCATTTTAACTTTTAATGCTCACTGAGGCAGAGCAGGAGTCCCCCTTTAATTTAGCACCAAGTGAGTAGAGTGTGTACTGGATGTGAGCGCTTTGTACGGCTGCGTTTCCTGCCCTGACAAACCTGGTCATTAAATAGGTAGATACTGTACAATGGAACAATCATTATCCATTTTATTTCCCCCCCCCCCCCAAAATCAGGACATTTCATGACGTAAAACAGCTTTATCCTTTAATTCTGGGACTGTATTTATTCACCTTGCTTTATTAAAAGGTGTGGAATTGGATTAGTCAAAAAAAGACTCTTTTTTTTTTTTCTTTTTTTTTTAGCTAATATTATGCACCAGTTGGCGTTACCTGCTCATACCGACTTCTCTGCTACTGTGTCAGCCTACTTTAATTGGACAGCACTTTTTTTGAATGAGCGTGTGCAGGTAGATCTTAATTTGAAACCATTATCATATGTTAAGGTCTGCTCGATACATTTCACTTTCCAGTGCGGCAGTAAGAGTCCCAACATAGGCCACATGGCTTGCAGGAGAGTCTGTTATGGATGCGGGGGCCATGTACTGAGCAGGCCAAGCATTTTATAAGTCTGTCTCTGACACTAAGACTCATAAACAACATGGCGGCCTACAGAGACCAGTGACAGCAACAGCATTCAAGGCACTCACACACGTTTGCCCTTCTACCTTTATGAGGACCAGACATTGCCCCATGGACCTCTGGAATTAACTTAACCATGACGAAAAGTGTTAGTTTGTCTTTTTAAGTGCGGTGTGTGCTACTGGGGCATCAGCACATACATATTTAAAAGGCAACGGCAGTGGACGAGGTTGGTTATATAAAGTCAACCTTCCAAGATCTTACACAAGTTACGAGGCCATCCAGCATCACTTTTATTAGATTGTTTCCACTGGTGGTGGGACTCCGCACCTTTGCTGGCTCATTGCTAGAGGGGACTATATCAGTCACTTGACGTGTAGTATTTTACCACAAGACAAATACAGTGAAACTCCTCTACAACGAAACCTACACGGGCGAAAATACCTCCTAGTGTGAAAAAATCTTCATGCATTAACACCATTCCCATTTTCCTGCCCCCCATACAACGAAAAAAAAACCCTGTTGCGCTATACTAAATCTTTTTCTCTGCTCTTGCTTGCCACGAGATTCACTACAACGAAGTCTAATCCAACAGCGACCTCTACTGCTTCGTTCGGAAAAGGCAACAGCAACCACCACACTGGTTTACACATGCGCGGTAGTCCAGGAAGTATTTGTTATTGTTAGCTTCAGACGCAGCAAGAACGTTGCATTGCTAAAATGGCTACAAAACGGACCTTTGGATGTCAAGCAGCTAAGAACGGACCTTTTGATGTCAAGCAGCTAAGACAAGAAGAGCTCTGATGCTGGAAGAGAGGGTAAAAGTGATCAAAATGAAAGACGGAGGAAGCAAAATAAAAGACATTATCCAAGAAATTGATGTAAGTGAAAGTGAATGCTGATCGTAAATTTCGCAATTTCTTTCCCTTTTTTTCTTTCTACACTGACAATATGAAGTGTCAAATAAGTGTGTGCTCATACTTATGTACTATTGGAATAAAAATAGAGTACACAAACGTTTGTGTGTGCGTGTACACATACGTTTGTGTGTGTGGGTGTGTGTGTGTTTACATCTGAGATCAAATTTGCTACAGTGAAAAACCCCCTGTTGTGAAAAATTTCTTGCTGCAAACATGATTTCGTTGTAGAGGAGTTTCACTGTAATAGCAATCTAGAGTTGATGGCATTAGTAAGGAAAATAATGCTCTCATTTGCAAGCAAAATAAAGAAAACAAGTACTTGCACTATGTAATTCAACAACATTGTTTCGACTGAAATAGCTGTACAGTTGCATGTGGACTGTATTAGAAATGGTAAAGTGAAGCTCCTCAGCCAATCCAAAATCATAATGCTCTCAATTACATAACGGTGTCATCCCATTTTTGGGCTGGTCTGACTTGAATGAAAAAAAAGCACAAAACCCCCGCAAAATAGCAAGGTAAAACTCGTGAAGCCTGCAGTAGAGTAGCGAGGGAACACTGATTTGTCAATCAATGAGGATCTTTTTTTTTCAAGGTTTTGTTAAACAATAAAAATATGACAATAAAAGGGATCAACAACAGATTTTCTTTTCATCTAAATAACTCCTTTTATTGAATAAATTTGCATTGTGCATAGCAGCAAACTGTATGTCCTTGTCTAGAAACATTTTCAGTGGTACAATTTCAACCACAAATATAAATTTTCAGTTTGAACTCAGTTTATCTAGATGGGTCCTGTGGTCTTTTAGCAAAGCTAAATTGATTTTTGAAAAAAAATGATCAGAGCTCAAAATCAAAACTTGGGCCTCAATCGTGAAGAGAAATAACATCACTGATATTGATACTAATATATAAATATTTTAAAGGATATTAATATACCTTTAAACTTCTCTGTGCCTCCTCCCGGCTGACGTGGGTTAGAGTGGACGCGTATTAAATTGCCTCCTATTTTGTTGTGCGAAGTTGAATACGCTCCACTTCAACGCGGTTTCCCTATGTGTAAAAAAACTACTTGATCACCCAAGCACTTAATTCCGGTGTTTCACGACAACATGTTAGCTTAGCAATTAGCTTCTTTGCCTCCCATTAATTACAACTCAGGGATGTGCTGTGGCAAAAATTCGACTCGACCACCTACAACCGTTGCATTGGTGAAGTAAACGTGTTGTGGAAAGATTGAGCCCAATGAAAGGCTTTGGGGGAGTCTTTGGGGCTTGGAAAATGAAGTGAAACTGCAAAGTTCGATATATTTACACAGTATACCTGTAACACATCCATCGGACACACAGTACTTCGAAGGAAAGACAAAAACATTCTAGGACAAGTGAATGAGGCAAGACTTGGCTATTAAATGATTTGGACAGATGAAAGGTAAGGCTGAGAGTGAAAATGACTTTTGAATCCACAGTGTAACATTGGAAGCGACAGGGGACACAAAAGAGAGGAATAATATAGAAAAAAACAAATAAAGAAGCTTGCTGATTCTCAAGAGATATTTCGGACTTTCCTGTCATTCACAAATCACGACATGCAACGGGTCCCCTTGATGATTCTTTTGCAATGCAGATATGTTTTTAACCTTCTAATTTATAATAGAGGCCCCTTAATTCGGCACAAGAGTGCAAATTCTGCTGCTTGTATGTGAAGAAACAGTTATGACACATTCACGCGCACACAGACAGACACAAACACGCACGCACACACACACACACATACACGCACACACACACACACACACACACACACACACACACAGGGATGGCAAATTAAAGCAGTACATGTTTTGGATAGCAGCGTTACGTTAACAAAGAAAGTTACAAGCCCAAATGATTAATAAGAATGAGAAGGCAAACAAAAGTATGTCAATATGACATAATACAAGAAAATGGAAAGTCACCACAAATGGAAGAGCACATAGTCAACATAGCTACCTAGAAAGGCCATCACACAGATGCTGATGGCAAACATGGAGCTCAGGCTCAGGCTATTCCCGTCTTCATTATGGAACATGGCGAGCGTCACCTCGCAGTGCCGTCCACGGTATCCTTCGTTGCATCGGCAAGTGTAACGTGAGGGGGAATGAGCCACGCAAGTGCCATAGCGACACGGACGGCTGGCGCAAAGTGTATAGACGCATGCTTTGCCTGAAGAGCTCTCCTTAGTGATGTGACCTGGAGGGCACCTGTTTAGAAAGGAAATGAAAAATGAGACGAGAGGCTCAATTATACATACTTGATAATTTTGTAAAAACCATACTGGAAATGCACTCTTAATTGTAAATACTGTACATTGTATTTCATGTATGCATAACATGAACTGTATGTACATACGTATGCAGTAGGTATGTGTGTATGTATGTACCTCTAATTTGAGTAAGAACAACCAATAGGAGACAGAAGGCGTAACTGACAAGGCCAATCATTTGCTGTGCACGCAGGCACGGGGAGAACATGCAAACTCCATACAGGAAGGCCGAGCATTCAGAAGTGATGTGGTGAATGTGACTTTTTGGTATTGCCTTTCACCCTGCCAAGACTCATATCATTTTATATCACTTATATTCATCATTCATCATTTTCGCAACAAAGTCTGTTCCTTTTCTTTGTTCTTATGCCTACCATCCTCGAAAAAGATTGGACATACAAAATGAATGGGTTGGTCGATGACGCGCTGCGACCTGCTAAGTGCAGTGTGAAAAGGCCTTTTTCTGGGTGGATGGACGCACATACGCACACGCACACACAAACTGTGTGTGTCTCTATGATGAACCTCTGAAAGTGACTCACCGAAGACCTGGGGTTTGATAGAACCCAGGTTAAGAACCACTGATGTGTTATAGTATTATTTCATTCCAAATAAGTAATGGGTGGGGGGGGGGGTGATTAGAGAAGCGAGTCTGTTTCACTTTTGTCTTTTTCAAGGTGACTCAGCTTAGTGGTGGGGCAGCATCCTTGCATCCTCCCTGGTTTGAAGTTAAGAAGAGTACACCAACTACAATAATTTGTAGGCCAAGGGCATTCTTTCATACTCTCAGACAAAAGAAAGCTGGCAGTTTATGAGTTTAATGACCTACTTAATGTGTGCCGTGTTTTTGTGTCATAATTCTGCGGATAAAATGATGAAAACGATGATGTTTTGAATGTATTTGCATTTGCTAACTGCGCAGTGGGAGCGTCGATGTACAACCGTAAAGAGGTAATGTTTCTAGAAGATGAGATGATGAAGAAGGCCATCATTAAGCAAGAAAAGCAAAAGAAGCCTTGCACACACAAACAATTCCACAATCTAAATAGAAGAAATGAATCCCCAAGCTCAACAACAAATAAAGTGCATGATTGCATATTTTTCTCCTTGTTGAGTAAAACATCGGGTCAGTTCAAGAACACGCTTAAAGAGGAAGATATATCATTGTCAAAGTCAGTAATCGAGCGACGCCTTCATGAATGTAAATACTGAAGGTTTACAACAAGGTGCAAACTACTGGTAAGGCTCAAGAACAGAGAGGAGAGATTAGAACTTAATAGAAAACATCTTAAAAAAAAAGCTCTGGCTCAATACTGAAGGGTATTGGGCTACTCTAGCGTCTGCTTCTGCTAAATGTTGCAAAACTGATAGGATGGCCCGAGTGAATACAGACCGATAATGATCCAAAACACGCAGACAGAGAGATTCTCTGGGAAAATAAAAACTAAAGATAAACCAGAAGGCAGAGAAGGTCTGATGAAGAACAAGCAGCAAACTTCGCTTTGATTGGTAATTTGCCAAATTGCTATTGATCAAATGAAATCAGAAGATGGTGTCAGAACAGTCTTTCAAATCCATTGTGTTGAAACCTCTGGCAAAAGGGAAAAAATTCATGAAATGTTTTTTGGAGGTTCAATCACATTCAAAGCTATGCCACTGAAAGCGAGTCAATTGTTCACTGTCTGAAAAAAAAAGGTGAAAAGGCACAAAGAGGCTCAGATTGGCTTCTCAGTAGTAGGCCCTCATTCATACAAAACTGCTGAATATTTTTCATTTCTGCATCTTGCTTGCTCTCAGCAGCTCCGGGTCCCAAGGCTGTGCTGTAGTCACAGAAATTTGGACATTTGAACATTCAGTCTTTTTTGCTGACTTTCAACGTGCTGCCAATACAGTGAGAAATGCTGCTTAGTTCTTTGTTCTAAGGTAGACATCTGTCACGGAGGTGGGCATTCTGTCAGTACTGACGGAAGGTCCGTCAGTCCGTCAATGACAGATGCCCGTTTTGCTGACAACTGACAGAGACACACCCTGCCTACATCGTGTGTTTCTTCGCGGGGGTTTCTTAGAGAGGACAGCATCAATGTGTGAGAGTGAGTGCTTCTCTTTCAGTCGGATCACTGCAGGGCCTGGGATGGCCGGCTTTGATTGGCTAAGGAAGTGGAAGTCGATGACGTCACTCCACTTTGCTCTTACAGCACAAATCTACAATCTTTCTTTGATTCTAATATTTTTTATGTATGTGTATTTATTTGCATATGAAACTGTATGGTTGTGTTTCAATCTTGGTGAAATTATTTAGATTCTATGAAGGACTGACTGACAGATTAAAATTTACCAAAGAGAGACATGACAGAAGCGCAGTTAAAATAGCGATGATGGAGTGCCGGACTGACGATAAAAGATTTGGCCAATTTGAAATAATTTATTTAAATTTATGTGCACAAGAGATATCGAGAGTGAAAGATGCGTGCAAATTACACGGCACCTTTTGAGTTGTGGTTGAGGTTGGATACCTGGTCCAACAATTAGCAATTTTCATTTTGTCAACAGCAGGACTGGTGCAAAAGCAAGCGGACATCTGGTCCTGCATTGCTGTTCATGATCGGTGCACCACCCATGTTTCATGTTGTTCACCAATTCTGCTCTCAGACAGTCAGATAAATAATACATAGAAGTAAACAACAGTTTACTGCCATGGCAGAGTGCTGTTGCTTAGAAATGGTATGGGCTGTGCTCTGTACATCCATCGTGTGTGTATTGCTGGTTACAAACACGGTTGTGTGTGAGCCATACTAGAATAAAGCACATGCCGGTATGTGCTAACTTCAAGGGCTGCGTATTATTCTTCAAATTCACAGTACCTGCACTCATGTTGCCTCCAGAGGTCTACACAGACGAGGGGAGGGGTGCAGGGTTGTTTCCTGCAGGCTTCTGAAGAGCAGCCAAGGGATACGCCCTGAGAAGAGACCACCTGAAGCCCCTCTGAAGGCTGCTTCCTGTCGAGGGAAATGGATCGACCACTTAATCTCAGGTCTCGCATGCAGCCTGGAAAGGAGGAGAAACAAGTGCCACAAATATACAATAAGACAACGTATCTCAGCAAAATCCCTTATACACACAAGCTTAATCCTTTGCAGGGGGTAAACTTTAATACACAACAAATATTCACAGACTAAAACTGAGTCAATGACACATCTGCAGACCAAGGAGTACCCTCGTGTACACAAACACACTAACAGCCCTGAGGCTAAACTGTTTTTTGGACGCCATTATCTGTACTGCATTTTTTTTTCTTTTCAATCTGTGGGTAAATGAGTTCTATCACATCATCTTAATGTCACTTTTGGTTGTCAGCCTAAAACCGAAGGATGCCTCTCAGCCATATCGTGAAGATGCATCAAAAAGGGTAACAGCATTTTAAAATGAACAAGTCCCTCAATGTAATTGATGGTCAACTCCTCCAGGTACTCTGTTATGGTTTGTCTCTACAAATTAACTTGCTAACTGAAGGATTGATTAGCCTCAGTAATGCTATTTAGCCAACAATTAGTTCACTGAAATACTTTTTTGAACTTTGAACTCTTCCTATTAGCCTATTAGCATCCACCTACCAAGGAAGCTTCTGTTGTGTCCCGATGGGAAAGAGTTTCCAAGGATCACAACAGAGGGGTCAATAATGATCTCCTGACTCCGCCCAGGCGAAGCCATTATCTCTCGACGCCCACCGCCCCCATCCAGGCGCAGGGTGAACTCTCGGCCAAAGCGATCCAACTCCAATTTGTGCCAGTCGCCGTCATCCAGGTGATGGAACGGCAGCGTTAAGTTGTAGTCTCCATCTCCGAGATTGTAGAAAACAGCCAGCAATCCCTGAACAACCTGAGATATTCAATTGCATGCTAAGCATCAGATTTTGTGTGCGGATAGACTCCAGATTAAAACAGTAATTCTGCGATGGATTTGTAATGCTTTGGACTGATCCAACAAAATATGACGTGCTTTATAATCACTTACAGTATGTTTGAGTGAGTCAAACTATAAAAATGGGTTGCACAAATTCTCCACTGATGTGGACAGGCAAACACAGAACTTGATCATGACACCATTATATGATATAGGGCAGCAGAACAGAGGCGGGGTCAAGGAATTAAAAAAAAACAAAACAAACAAAAAAAAAAAAAACAAAAACTGAACCTTCCACCAAAATGGATATTCTAACTTTCAGTTTGTTGCTGCATGGCAGAGGCAGGAGTCGTCCCAAAGGGAAGGTATACAAAAGCCAACAATTATCTTCAACAGTTAAGGCTGAATGAACCCGATGGACTGAACCAATGAGGGGCTCCAATAACTGCAGCTCCTACATGTCGAAATCTTAATTGGAAACAGAGGGGCAAGATAATTCACATTCAGCCCAGCCTGCATTAACTATTGCTCACTCAGCAAGACATCTCAAAAAACCCACAAGAGACATACAAGCACACGCAAACACACTAACACGTACTTAAAAGTTGCTCAAAAGTCCATAATAAATACATGAATGTGAAAACAAATTGTTTCAAATTATTAAACACATATTAAAATTAATACACAAACAATAAATCAGCAAGGACAAAGAACTGTAAATTCACAGAGTCCCCATTGATTTGGACACCTTATTAACACACACACACACACACACACACACACACACACACACACACACACACACACACACAAGAAAAACCACACTGTAAACACTTCCGCGACCCTTGTGCTGATATGCGAACTAGAAAATGGATGAATGGATGGAAATATTTTAATACGTTGCTCTACCATATAATTTGTGTAGGGGAACACTGTATCTATATAATTGACGAGGAGCACAATGTTTTCTGCTGTTGTCGTCAGGTATGTTGTGTTTGTGTGGCCCTTTTTCTCTTGACGGGTATGCTATGTCAATATAATTGCCAAGGAGGACATTGTTTTCTGCTGTTTTGCTCAGGCTTTGTGAAGTGAGACAATTAAACACAACCAATACCAGAAATCCCGCTGTGCGTCATCAATATTCTTAAACACAATGCGGTCAGACACCACGGGTTACACTAAGATGTGTCATAATTCATATCCATGAGAGAAAGAGGAGTGAATATTATGTGTATTTTCTCCCTGACGATAATCGTACGTGAATGAATGAGCTCAGCCTCATGCATAAAGGAACTTCTTCATCTCTTCATTTTTGGCACAGGAACACATACAATTCTCATCTATTTGACTCAACACCACCACAATGGATTTTAAATGAAACAAAGAGGATGTGCTTTTACTGAAGACTCCCAGCTTTGATTTGGGGATATTTACATCCAGATCAGGGAAATGCTGTAGGAATTACAAGAGTTTGTGTGCATGCCTCCCAGTTTTTTATGACGAGGGTCGACGTGCTGCATGCTAGCATCACATATCCTCAGCTTTAGTTTCTGTGAGAACACCTCAGTCACGAACATAGCGATTTCCGGCGAGCTGTATTTCCAAGTCATGTATGTATGTATTTTGTACCAAAGAGTCTTCGACAAAAACTTTGTGGTGGTGGCATGATGGTGGCGTTAGGATTATTATGAATGCAACAAGAGAAGCTTCGACGGAAGAAGGATGTGCCCCGCTGCAACTGACTCCCGCGTCGCTGGAAGAAAATGATGCGCATGTCATGGCCCATAAAATTCAAGTTTGAGTCATTACGCACTGCCCTAACCATGCGCGCCGCCATCTTGGCTTAATGTTCATTTGGAAAAAAAATGAAAAAGAATGAGATGTGCGAAAGGCCCGAACAACACAGATGAACTGAACTGAAAATGTCGGACCCAAGAGTTTAGATGGTTCTCATAAATTCTACCCATAAAATCTATATCTATATCTATCTATCTATCTATCTATATATATATATATATATATATATATATATTTTAATATATATATAGTGTATCATTTAAATTTAAAAAAAAAACTGACCACTATAATCCACAGACAGACACAACAGACACATGCTCTCATGTGCTGCTGACCTCTGTCAATCTTCGGTAGAAAACAATTACGATATCCTGTATCTATTTCTTAAAGACAAGCGAAGATGAAAGGGCTCTCTCGTGCTGCTGTAGACACATATCAAATCTTTTACAGAAGCACAACTCTTCTTTCGACTGTCACTAAGGGAGAGTTACAAGGGAAAGAGGACAACAATGTTTTCCTTATGTCGCATACAGTCCCAAAGAAGAACACGGCGTGAGACCAGAACATTAAACAGCACCAAGACAAGATGTTTTCCAAGGTGGGGTAGTTTTACAATTCAACTTCAGTAAAACAGGCTCCGTGCGTACAGCTGACCTGTGATTTTATAAAAAGTGACAGTCCAAACACCATCTAACAGCCATTGCTGTTTGCACTCGACATGCCATGAAATGAGATGAAAGCCATGAATAATAACCCCCCCGAAAAACAAAAAAACAAACCTCAATGTTCATGTACTGTCTGTCAGCATTGCATCACTGAGAAGAAAGTGTAAATTGACTGCATTTTTATGGTGCATTACTAGGTTTCCGAAGCAATTTTATAAAACCATTATTTCCCCTTTGCCACTCCTGACTGGTATTCGTAGTCCACTCCTTGGAGCCATTTTAGGTAGACAACGCACTCCAAGGGAGTTTTGTCAGAGTGGCAACGTGAACATGAAGTGAGCAGTGTCAAAACCTTCAAGTGCACTGCGAGAGATGTGACTTTCAATCAAGTGCACTCTGTTCTCCAATTACAGTGCACATGCTTTCTCTTGGAAGCCAAAGAGAGGCGTCCTTTTTTTTTCCATCTATAAGATACCATCTGCAGACCTACTATCAGAATTTACGGAGAAAATGCATATGTGAATCAGCAGTCCTCTCAGTAGCCAACAATATGTCAGCAACCCCAATATTACCCACTCTCGATCTGACAAGCAATCACTGTTAGGGCCCCAATGATCATTTTAATGGGACACAGACAAAACAATCAGAGCTGTCATAGAGGAGAAACCAGAAGAACTAGTTGTGACTCACCTCTAAACGCAGGTATTCACTCTGTTCCTGAGAGAGCAAACTGAAGATAACGCCGAAGGCGGCACGTGTTCGAATCCCAGCCTCGACTCTTATCTGTCTCGCAGGCAGGGACCATAACAGCTGGAACTGAACCTGGCTGCGTCCATCGAAGGAGAACTCTGGTGCCGCTTGTCCATCAGGAACACACAAAGCATGTTCAATTATTTTAGCCGTCAACTGGGAAGTACGTGAGCATATCACTATGCACTATGCAGCCTATTTTGTGCAGGACAAGGGCGAGGGCAATCTTGAAACTTGGGGAGGAGAGTGGTATATCTCAGATTGTTTGCTCTGAGGTTAAACATCCTAACACCAAACTTCCCAAAAAAGCTTCAGCAATCCCTGACAGTGATTCAAAATGCTTACGCTGGTCACACTGTGGCCCAGTAAAGCCCGATTCACACTGGCAGCTGACAGGACCCCACTCAACATTGCAGCGACCCGTCTTGCCGCAGGAGGCAGGTTGATGTTGTTCCTCTGTGTTGGTGCAATGGTCATCCGCGAAAGAGCAGCCTGGCACGCTGTTTACCGATTCAGCTGGAGAACCCAGGTCATAAAGCTGAGCAGAAGGGGGCAGCAGGAAAAAAATGTGTGTATAATAATAAATTATCAAACACTGATGCAGTTCTAAATATTTGAGTAACTGGGTACTTTGATGTGGACAAGAGCAAATAGTACAGCACATAGTAAAGTACTACATTTTGTAGATGTTCCTACGGTAATCCAGCATCTCTGTGCGCTCAGGAAATGTAATTGTACTAATCGGAGCACAACCTCGTTTCTGTGATCACCAATTCATGTACTGTACCATCTCCATATGCCGAAATGATGTGACAAAGATCAATGCAATTTCATTTAAGGTGGTGTCGCACTAAGCAGCAAAGGCTCGTGAGCATTTGCGCATGTCCCGAATGTTGTTTTTCATCAAGGTTTGTTCAACATTGCAAAAGGTTGCACGTTGCAAAAACGTTCGCCGGATATTAGACGACAGTTTTACAATCCGCAAAGACATTTTCACATTCAAAATGTTCGTGTTCAAAATTTGAAGGCGACCAGAAAAACTGTTTGCGAATACCTGGCAAACGTCTCTCAACCTCGAACGAACCCTGACAAAAAACATTTGCCCTGTGCGCAAACACTCGCAAACCGTCATTGCTGTGAGAAACATGCTTTAGAAATTAGGGACACTCTCAAGTCCGTTGTTCAAAATAACTGTGCTAAGCCCTGTGTAGAGTAATGAGCTCTGAGGCTTAATTACAGAGCACCCATGCTGTGCTTCAAATGGTACATTGAGCGAAGAAAAATAATCAACAACTGCTGTTCGGTGCATAGACGCAAACAACAGTCAGGACAAGTTTTACCCCCCACCGGAAGGTGGAGGGAAGTTACCCTCTTGTCCACTGGGGTGAACCCTAATGTACAGGGGACAAAGTGGGGGCAAAAGCATGCATGGCGCCTCTCAGCGTGGGCAACTAGAAGAGAGTCCCAGCATTCTTGAAAGGACTGGTAGCAGAAGCCAAGCTGTGTGTGGAGCAGATTCCGATGTCGAGTCAAAACTTCAATAACCAAATGAGTAAAATAGATTCGTTCATCTCTGGCATTTCATATGATGAGTTTTGAAATGCGCAGTTGGACAATATAAAAAATATTGCAGAGGTAGGGCACTGAAGTCCAGCCAATAGTGCTAAAAGTTTAGCGTCCCAATATCCCTTCCACTGTGCTGAGTCAGCCCATATGATTTCCGGTCCCATTCTTGATTGATCAGACAGCCAGTCTGCACTGCTGAATTCAGTCGAGTAACTATTGATTTCAAAGCAATTACCAAGGTAAAGTAAGTTTGCATCTTTGCTTACAGACATGCTTTAAAAAAGCATGAAAGGCAGATCTCGCTTTTCCACTGGCTAAAGAATGCTCTTTGCTGGCACGTAACTACTGTGACTCTACTTTGGTTGGCTGAATGGCCTTAGTGGTGACTGGTGATGATTTTCCAAGTGTGAGTTTGATGTTCCAAATGTGCACTTGGCGTAACATAGTTTTTACTTTTGACTTTTTAAAAACATTCAAATGCCTTTGATGATTCAAATCTCATCTAATCATGTTTTTAAAGCTCAAGTAAGGTTTTTAATTGCAATTTTAGAAGAAATGCAGGCATTAAAAAGTGCTGTAATAAAAGATCCATCCAATATATCGCTTATCCCAGCTAACTTTGGGAAATAGTGCTATTGCACTATTCATAAAAAATATATAAATAATAATACACTACATGAAAATAACTCAAGATGTTGTTTTCTACTTTAGATGCACAGCTACAAAGGCAAAACTGGAAGAGTGATATTTTTCCAGAAGCACAAGTTGTCAATATTCTTGTTCTGCAGCACAACCTTGAAATAGTTTTAACATTCTCTCCTCAAACAATGATAAAAGTCAGCAAAATGTCAATGAAGCTGCACTGAAACATAATTTTGAAGAGATGTGAGTTAGTTTAACATTTGAACAGACGGACATCTGCACAGTAATAAAAGCTACTAATAAGGAAGGTTCCCCCTCCCTCTCTGGGAGGGCTAATAAAAATGCAAACATTCTGAGCTGATCTTTGAAACTCCCAGATAATTAATGTTCACTCTCCAAATTGACACCAGTTGATTCTGTCAGTGAAGGACTGTTTAATTTTTAATCATCACCATGCATCGCATCCAACTTGTGCTTGAGATTCATCAACGATGCATGATTTGCAATTAACTGCCTGTTCAGACTGAAGTACCCTTATTTTCGAATAGCTTTAAAGCTTTTGAGAGAATAATGTATATTCAATGTGTAAGACAAAGACAAATATTTTGAACTGAAATGTAGAACAAGAAAAAAATCAAGTATTCTATTTATGTTTACTATACAAGCCCTCTGTTTGGGTTTTCTTGTTTGTGCGTGGTGTCGTCTGTTCTTATGCAGTGATGGGGGGAACAAATAATCATGATATAACGTGCTATAATGCTATAAACAGCAGCTCTGTGAAGTTTCCTTAGGGCAGCTGTGTTCTCAAACAATGATAAAAGTCAGCAAAAAAAAAAAAAAAAAAGCAGGGTATGGGTACTGTACAGCCATCATTTTATCCAGAGCATCCTTGGGAATTAGAACAAAGCAAAGCTACTGCAACATTACCTTGCTGTCCAAACGTAGGTTTCTAATACATCCAACGTAGTGTTTGTGTTGTAGCTGTGGATATTCATACAATATGTTCATGTTGACACCTCCGAGTTGCAACACGTGACTTGCATTCAGATACCTGGGACAACAAAATAAAATAAAATAAAATAAAAAGGTATCAATGAAACGAGTGAACAGAATGTAATTTGAAAAGGCAAAGAGCAAAAAGCAAAACCACAAGAGCTGCCAACACTCAAATGTATGGTTTCATTCTTTACCGGCTGAGCCCGTCATCACTTTTACTGCTTCTCGACAACAAAGGTCACATTTTGCTCCTGTTCTGTTTCGTTTTGAAAAATGGCTGACAACACGACCACAAACCAGGGCATTTTGTCGAACGGGAGAAGGAAAACGAAAACAGACTGCAGGTTCCTTTGCTGCATGCATTCATTATAATAAGACAGAACTTCCATACTATTTTCCTGATGTTTAATGTACACTCTAAAGAACAAATAACAGCAATGAGAAAAAAGCAGGCATCTGCAGAATAAGCAGACACAGGTAAATGTCCTTGATCGCTTGAAAAGAACTACATAAGTCAAGTTATTACGATTAAAAATATGATGGCTTTATTGCTGTATTTTGAATGTAGTCAGACAGATTCCATAAAACAGAAATGCCACGTTTTCAATTTGTTTCTCAACAGTAATTTTCCCTCCAGAGAAAATGTGTTGGTATACTGTTTGAAGAAATGAAAACTGGGTGACGAATTGGTTTGCAGTGACGTTCTAAACACTTTTTTTTTTAAACGCAAGCTCGTACAAACTGTAGGCTGGGCCCAACCTCGGGTAAATGCAGAGGGGTTATGTCGGGAGGGGTATCCGGCTTAAAACTTTGCCAAACAATTTTGAGCATTCATCCAAAGAATTTAGACCGAATCAATCACGGTCCAGGTTAACAAGACTGCCATCGGTGCCATTAACCTACAGGGCACAGGTGGGGAATTAAGCTACTTTGGATCAAAGTCAAACGGAGAGGTGGAAAGTGGGTTCACAGGCAGAAAGTCAAGAAGAAAGCGTAGAGCCTAGACCAGACAGTGGGGATTTTGAATGATGGGACTATGACAGGAAAAGATCGGGAGTTGGTTGACATGGGGAAATGATAAGGAGAAATCTTGATTCGGGTTCGAATTGGAGTGGGGTTTATATTATAGGAAGAGATTAGTTAAGATTGTCGAGGATGTGAAAAGTATGTCAGATTAATTTATGAGGGTGAAACCTGAACTTGAGGCTGTCATGTTTAATGTTATTAGTAATGTCCCACAGGTAGGGTGTGAATAACAAAAGAGAGGAATTCTGTAAGGAACTAGATGGAGCACTTCTGAGCATCCCAGGTGGAGGAAGACTTTGGATTGGTGTAGAGTGTGATGGACATGTGAAAGAACAAAACGGGTGATGGAAAAAATGATGGGCAAATTTGTTTTCCAGGAAAGCATCTTGGAAGGACAAACATTAGTGGATTTTGACAAAAGGATGGATAAGGCTGTCGTGAACACCTTCTTCCAGAAGAGGCTGGAACATAGGGTGAGCTACAAAAGCGGACGTAAAAGCATGCAGGTAGATGATATCTTGTGGTGATGATGTCAACCGAAGTAGCTACTGACTGTAAGATAGTGGTAGAGGAGATTGAGGCTAGAGAGCAGAGGATGGTGAGATAACGCAGTTGGGGGTGAGGAATATTCAGAAGACAAAGGTAGAGCAGAGAACAATGTGCTGAAAGCTCAATGTGATAGGGGGTTCAATGGACGCTGTTGTCGTATTTATAAATAAAATCCGATGACAACCACCACATATGTTCCCGGAGCTGAGACTCCTGCACCTCAATCAAAATCACCAAAATTGCAGTATTCTCCCTGCGCCAATAGTTAGACATAGTTCCAGCGGGTGTAAAGTTTAGTCTACTGTCAGCTAACAAATTGTCAGGTCCGCTGGGAGTGTGTGAAATTATAATCGCCCTCGGTACACCAGAACGCCCAGCATGGCTCAGAGCCATCTGCCAAATTCCCCAACATGCTAAATGAGGCTTGCACCAAAACGGAAATCAAGATGCAGCAGTTTTTACTGTGCACCCGGGCTGTCTACGAATAGAGAGGACTTCGGGTCAACAGTCCAGAACCATGTTGAGTGTGGTAAATGGGTGAAGAAATTGATACAAGCAAGTGGGAATGAGTGAAGGACGAGTTTGTGCTTGGATGAAAGGGAAGGTTTCATAAGACAGTGGTGGGATCAGACATGATGTATGGATTCGAGACACTGAAGACAGGAAGCAGAGCTGGAGGTGCAGAAAAGAAGATGATGTTTTCTTTAGGCATGGCCAAGTTGGGTAGGATTAGAAATGAGCACACCAGAGGGACAGCCAAGGTTAGATGTTTGAAATTATTTTAATCTTAAGGGGAACTCAACCCTCGTGAAGATAAGCAGTCAAGAAAATGGATAGATAGATGATTGTTCAGGATGATTTATCGCCACGGGCATGCGTCTTCACACGTTTACATGTATATTTCATGAAGATCGTTTGTTATCAGTTGGCACAACTGTACATTTCATGAAGATCATTTGTTATCTATTGGCACAACTGCGTTTTCATTTTTGAGGACTTGATGAATGTCTCTTTTAATCCTATGGCCCAGACAGGATGCTAAACTAGGGTCATCGTAAAAGACAATATGGAGTACAACACATATAAGTGGTGAATAGATGTATCTGTCATGTATTTATTGCTATAATACAGTGTATGTTTGTGCCATTCAGACCATTTCTTCCACTGTGGCCATGAACAAACAAACAAACAAACAAAAAGAATTAAACTATACTTGTCTTGAGAATCATTTGCTTGTCTCGGGTGCTGTGCTGTCTTGTATGCTGTTTCTGATGGAACTTACTTGTCCCGGTTGGGTGTTGTCCCTCGAATTTCACAGGAGGAGCGGTCCTCTGTCATTGCCCAAGAGTCCACTCCTTCTGTCTCCATGACAATTGCAGTGGAACATCGATCCAGAGTAAAGCGCACTTCCTTAAAATGGGGACACCCATGTTACAGGCACACCCAATTTGTTGTATGTTTTACCCCTCCCACACACTTGAAACGAATTTATACACGTTACAACAACATAGTGAACATGTTTGATAAAAAATTGCAAGCATAAAATGCAAATAAATTGTATGGACCTGTGTATTCTATATAGGCCTTTAAGAGGCGGGGCTTGGTGGGTTCGCGCGTAACTTTAGCAATCTGGACAGAAGTTGGTTGGTTGGCTCAAGCTATGAAAAGTGTTACTTTCTGGCCGTGGGCTGTACCTAAGAGCCACTTCCTGCGTGAGTGTGCTGAGAATGTTTGTATTTTACTGTTCTTCGGGTATTTTGTGTGACGGTGGCTCTCCTTTCCTATGTGTGAGTACATTACCAATATAACGGGTATTTTAGCGATAGATGAGTAGATACATTACCGGTACAGAAGAAAAAAATCTGCAAGGTAGCGCAGCCCTGGTACGTTAATACAGCAGGGGAGCACTCTATGCCTAGTTGCTTGTGTTACAATTTTTGAGCCAGACTGTGTGTTGACACAGAGCAATTAATATTTCAGTATTTGCATTTGAATGTCCTCTCAGTTCTCTCAGCCTTGAACATCTTCACAAATCATTTTCAAATCACCATAAAATTATGTGGATTATTATATTTTGGTTCTACTCTGAGGTTACTTTCGATGGTACGGAACTGAGCAAAATCCGATCAAAAGTTTGAACTTTACCAGCCCGTCATATTCATATGTGGAAAGCAGAAATATAATTGTCTTACTTTACTGTTACTCCTCACATCAAGGCGATGCCACCGTCTGTCAGCCAGGCCAGCACTGTTTAATAATTGGAGAACAAGTGTACCAGAACCATGGTTTATTTTCAGATTGGGAGATCCACCAATCAGCTCTGTTAGGGAGACAGTACAGTAAATCAACATTATTATGCATGAATAAAAACAATTATCAAAGCAACTACATTTTTCCACACGGAGGCAAGGTCAAGAAGAAAAGTAACGTCACAGAATAAATGGTAAATATATTGTTTATGCATGCAGGCAAAATTCTCATGAGATGAGGAAAACACGAAAATGACATGGAGAGCCACAAAACACCAATGGAAAACCAAATGGAACCTCAGTAGTATTCGTGAAACATTCAGAAAATCCTCTTGAGACTTGATTCATCCAAATCCATCCATTCATTTTCAACAGCGTTTATCTTGAACAGGGTCGCGGGGGGTGCTGGAGCCGATCCCAGCTGACTTCGGGCGGACTACACGCTGACCCGGTCGCCAGTCAGTCGTAGGGCACAGAGAGAGACAAACAACCATTCATACCCACACCCACACCGTCACTGAGTGGGAACCGTTCCCACAACTGCCATCTAAATACAAAATGTGATAAATCACGAATGTCATTATTTCGATAACAAAGAAGGATCATATCTTTTGGAACTGCAAGTACTGTACACAGTATATTCTATTTTCTTTCTATTCATGGAGGCCCAGGAGCTACATTTTTAATCCACTGTTTTGGGTATTTCAAAATTGAAACCTATTAAGGAGACAGCTGGTGTGACTAATGACCAGTAAACATTGAGAAAACATTTCCAAACCATTTAACAAAAGGAAATCACAATGAATCAATTTTCATATTCCCAAACTGGACAGCAAATAAAGCAAACAATGGACAAACAATTAATAATTACTGGGTCACTTCTCTAAAATACTGAGGGTGGGGGAACCTATTCATTGTAACATTAGACAATTTCATTGAAAAACATCAGTTATTGACAATATGAGTGGCATTCATGGAACAGAAGAAAAACATTTAACCAAATAAAAGATAAATAGTGGTTATGTTGGAATTAATTATTACTGAATTTGAAGAAAAACTCAATTTGGAAATCAAGACAGCACAACAAGCTCCATAGTTGATTGACAATGTCAATGTTGAATGAGTACAGAAAAAGACATTTTGGGGTGTGATTTTAAACCACAAAATCTAATGGAAACTGCACAATAATAATGTCTAATTAAAACTGGTAAAGTGCATCACTGTTCTAGGGAAAGCAAAACACAACCTTGACTACAAATGACAACACATTTAATATTTTGCATGTGTACGATCATACCTGAATTATTGAAGTGTGGGGTCACACTGACAAAAGCAACTTGCAACCATTGCGCATTGTGCAAAAGAAGGTAATTTGTATTGCATACAGGGTGGGGTTTAGGGAGATTAGGAACACATTTCTTTTAAATTCACCTGCCTTGAAATTTATAGATCTGGTCAAATTCAACTGTGATAATCGTGCGCAAAAGCCGGAAATTATTCAATTCCAAGCAACAGTCAAACAATGTTTTGTGACAGGAAGGGCGTTATGAGTTAGGAGGCATTTTGAGGTTGAAAAAAAACCAATGTATTCGCACAACAATAAACAGTTTGTGTCTTTCTGTGTATGGGGTGGAGTTGCGGAATGGATTGAGTGAGGAGTTGAAACACTCTAAATTGGGAGTGTGACTAGTTGTTTGTCCATCTTCAATTGGCTGGCAACTGGTTCAGAGTGTACCCCGCCTACTGCCCAAAGTCAGCTGGAGTAGGCTCCAGCACCCTCGCAACCCTCGTGAGGATAAAGCAGTTCAGACAATGGATGGATGGATAAACACTTCACATCTGCTGAACCTACTGTACCATCCAGTAATTAGAGTCAACTCGTCAAGAGTTTAAGCAATGATGTTCCAGAGGCCCTGTGGCACACTTGTAATTACCCAGACACACCGTTACCTATGGCCATGAAGTCTTCAACATCTCCAGGCAGAAGCGTGGCCAACGGGCCAGCATACAGCAGCAGCCCGTCATCTTCTTCTGTCATGAACTCCAGAGATAGATGGCTATCAAAACACGGCTTTATGGGAGGAAACCAGGCGTAGCCGTTGCCAAGGAAACTACGTCTTGTCTGCTGGCAGTCCGGCCCATCATGTTGAGGAGGGCATCGACACCTGTAGCACCATGGAGAACGACAAAACAGAAAAATAATCAATGTAGCACAAAAGGAAACTATCTGTGTAGAAATCTTCACACCAGTTTGAGCTTGTCTTTTCTTTGGCAAGTGAGACATTGTTTACACACAAACAAATTCAACTGAGGAGAAAAATCCTCGATCAATCGATCACTCACCTCAGAGGGCTTTCGGGCCTACATTAAATCATGAAAATACTTGTATTAGGGCACTCACAGCAACTGGAGACAGTTAAGTAAAGCAGGGGTTCCCAAACATCCGTCCACGGCAAACAGAGAAAACTATTTTATTTAAAATAATTTAACATTTTCCATGCATGAATAAGTGCACAAGTGTTTAACTTGTTAACACAGCTGACATGACTGAAAACTAAAGTATTTGGGTATATATTTTTTATATACACACACATATATATATATATATATATATATACACACACATATATATATATATATATTTATATGCCATCTTAAAGTATTTGTACCTCAAGTTTGAACTTCCAAGTCAAAGCAAAAAAGATCGTTGGTTCTTAGCTCCAAAAACTAGATAAGTTCTTACATTTGTATCTCTAGGCACTACTGTAATAGCGCTTTGTTTTTGCTTCCTCGAAGTCAAAGTTCCTTGTTAAATGCCTCCATTGGTTAAGATGGATAAAATCATAAAACCTCAACGCAAAATGCCTCATTTCGTCACTGTGATGGAGGAGATTGACTGGTTGATCTGTTCTTGTCTCCTGCTCTGGCGCTAAGTGAGACAAGGTGGCTTTGCTGATAATGTCACACTCATCTATTTCCATGCAACGCCTGAGGAAAGCTGTGTGCATTGAGACTGTTCGGGCGACATTGCTGTTTATTCTGCAGAGGGGCGACGCATGTCGGGAATACTGATCTATGCTCACCTATATAGATGGCTTATGCAGAGTGAAGCGCGATGCATACATATATTCAGACCAAGCAGAAGCTCTCACTCATTCGCTGCTCAGACCCATGAGAGCAATACCTGCATGAGTAACTCAAGTGAAGTGATATTTTTTCCACCTCCGACTGGCATTATCTAGTCAACTGCTGTCTGGAGCTGCTTGTTATGTCCACACACAGCCGTGGCAAATATAACAATTTTAGGTTTTACAGCATGAATCGTAGAGTCTATTCGGCGCATATAAGGTGATGTTCACTCACATAGTAACTCAGGCTTAATAGAGCTGAGCAGCAACAACACAGCCAACTTTAAGAAGAAAAAAAAAGATAAGAGAACAAATCGGTTCTGTGCATCCTCGCTTTGAAGAATATGGCTCTGACAAACCCGTATGTTCATGTAAATGGAATTAAATTAGATCTTCAGAAGTTGCGAGCAGAGAGGGGGGGCCCCAAGTTGGATTAACACCCCTGCCCTATATTTATTTAATCTGCGCATTAGTGTGAGCCTGGAATGTACTGCATACTGGGTCGTTTGAGTCCCACAGAGACCGCACATTTTAAAGGATTCCCGATAATTACAGTCATCCTGTGAAGTTTTATGGTTTATGTTAATGAGCAAGATGCGAAGGCTATATTTATTTTTTACTTGGGACAAAGGAACATTGCAGCAGTAATAAAAGAAAATATAAAGTTTCTAAATGTTCACCCCAAGCGAAAAATAGAATATATACTGACTGTATAATTAGACGTTTTATGAAAATCTTGCTACTCGGTGTTCGACTGACGACACAGCAGAGCAGTTGTAGGAAAGTCAGGTCAAGGTAGGTGAAAGAGATTTTTGTCATGAGAAGTCATGATCGTAATTCTAGCAGGGTTTCTTCAGCAGGGTTTCTCAGTAGATCTCGTTACGCTACGAGAGCGGAGACGCGCCACTGGTTTTGGTCTCACCTGTATCCGTTCTGGGCATCAATGCAGGTTCCCCCGTTAAGGCAGGGGTTACTGGAGTAGGAGGAGCAGCTTTGATGAGTCATTTCTCTGGCGGTACAACCACAGACGGCCGAGGTCGTCACCTTGACTGAGACTAAGGACAACGCACCAGAGTCGAGCAGGGTCGGCGACTCGCTGATGGTCAGTTGCGTGGTGCAGCCACCTGATGCTTTACAGTCAGCATGCACACATTCATCCACCTGCACCTGGCTTACATTAACAAACAGCAGTGACTGCAGCTGCAGAGGGAAAAGGGAAGGAACAAAGATGTAGGAGACATTAATGGGATATAACTGTCAGTGAACACACAAAGTGTAGTATCTCCAGAGTTGACAATGATGTGAAGTCCGACTCTAATGAGCATGGCGAAGGATAACATGACTTTTGCTGTTTATTTACATGACAATAAAAACATCCTCTAATCTACAAACAGCATATTGTTTGAAAATTCTAAAAAGGGTTTGCTGAAGCGGTGGGGTATGTTTAGGTCTGACAGGGTAATGAAAGAATGCGGTACCAACATTGAGGAGAGGCAATGTGATCGGGAAACGTAAAGACTAACAAGAAATGGATTGAAGAACAAAGAGGCAGTCAAAAGACAAGGGTTTGTGCGAAATAAAATGCCGAAAATGCAATTTTGTCTCTTCATCTTACACCCCAAAGTGTTCTGTGTAACATTCAAGCACTTTTTTCATCTGTCATACAAATCGGGATAAATACCTTCTTTTTATGTGCAGCAAGAGCCCCGTGTAACTTCTCTGAATGCATGAAGCCTGTCTCAGACAGCACATAGAAATGGATGTCCAGTGTTTTCTCCCCCCTGTCGGCAATGCTGAAAATATTAATGCTGCCTGGTCTGACAGACAGGGTCTCAGACAGAAAGTCCCAGAGTGTCTCCAGCCGACTCTTCCTCTCGACATGAGAGTCGATAAAATCTCTTGGGGTTATGCCTTTGGGAGACAAAGAGAGGAAAGGTTCATGGGACGTGAACGTATGACTCACCAATGACAACCACAGAGTAGGTCAAAGCCTACAGAGTCTGCAATTCAATTAGCGTGAGAGGAAGTCCAACATCTCCAACTATTGATCCACCGAAACACATTCATTTGACAAAGTCGCAAACAAATGAAGTTGAATGCTTTGATTCTAGAAGGAAATGTACATTACTCCCAACATCAATAAAGATCTGGTGATCCCATCAGAAGTTGGACACTGAAAACCTCTCTTGTCACTTTGAGTGTCATCGCCAATTTGGAGTTGGACCAACAGTGATGTGGCATTCAAACTTGTTCTTCGCTTTTCTCCAGAGAGTTTTCACGTATCCATGGGTGAAATTTTTTGAGGAAGGTTATCCATTGGCCTTCACGCAATTTCTTTCCTTCAATTCTCCCTGCGAGGCTCAGTTATTCGAGACCTTCCCCCCGTATCACGTGAACCAGTAAGCTGATCTGCTGATGTTCAATCGTCCACAGAAGCACACGGATCTCTACCGCTCTCCTTAACACTTAGTCATGTGTGACCGTGTCTCGATATGAGATTCGAAATATCCACCGAAGAACACACTTTTCTGTTGCTTTTAAATTTTGCCAGGTTTCTGCGGTGAGCGTCCGTGACTCACTGCCGTATAAGAGCACTGATCAAACAAATATTTTCAAGAGATGAATTTTCAAGTTGACGGACAGCTTTCGATCGATGAGAACGTTTTTCACGCAAAGATACGCATCTTTTGTCTTGCCGATGTGCCGACAACTTTGTGGTTTGCACAGGGCATCCAATGTCACCAAGGCCCCCAGTTAGCTGAAACTCTCGACTTGTACAATGGTTGAATTCGAAGGATGACATCAGAGTCGAGATTAAACAAATGGGGAGACATGACGCATCCTTGACGAACACCACACTTAATTGGAGACCAATTGGTGAGACCACTAGTTAGGCCAACTGCTGCTATCGAGTCCCAGTCCACAGATCGGATGACGCGCATGTCCTTATCATCGATTTTCACTCCGGCTAAGATTTTAAACAGTGCAGAGTGGCGCACCTTGTCGAAAGTCTTTTGGTCGTCAATAAAACCAAGACTAGCTGAAGGTGCATTGCAATTAGGTTGCAAAAAATCAATTCCATCTTTGAGGCCACCTATATGGAGAGCACATCATCTTTAATCTTCCAAAATGATAATGACTTGTCACAGAGGCTTCCATAATAGTCTTCGACTCCGGTCTCGGATTGGCTTTTAAATGTCAAGGACTTTACCTGACACAGCCAATTTGACCTTTATCACTCTGATTTGTGATTACACAGGTGGTAAAAATTAACACTCAAACTGTTACAGCAAACAATTCAATGGATGGTTTCACAGAGAGGTTGAACGATAGATGTTGAAATCAAATTATTAAAAAAGAAAAGGCTCGACAGTATATTATTTTAGCATGAGCTGGATGAAGAAACAGATAATCACAAAGTCAAATATACGACAATAATCAAAACTTACTGACCCTTTGAATATGAGCCTCAATAACAAATAAAACAAAAATAAACTAGATTTTTCATTCACAGCAACAGGACATAAATTTACCGGTCAAACGTAGTGAGGCAGATGATAGAACTGCCTTTTCCTCCAGATCCCTCACATGAACTCTAACTTCAGATTTGACATCGGGCCACACGCTATCAGACACCCCAACACTCATCCAGTAACTCCCCACTGGTGTGTTCGGTTGAATGGTCAGCAGTCCTGAGCTTTGGTTCACACTGAAATATCTGCTGATTAAGAGAACAAAACTTAGGTTAAAGAGTAAAATCAGATATCACTTTGTTCTTAATCTTGAAAGAGTGACAAGAATGAAAAAATAAACAGCATATACATATATATATAATAATGTATATACACTGCGATTGGCTGACAACCAGTTCAGGGTGTCCCCCGCCTAGTGCCTGATGACAGCTGGTAGAGGCTCCAAAATGCCCGCGACCCTTGTGAGCATAGGCGGATTAGAAAATGGATGGATGGATGGATGGACTGTATATATTCAATGTCTTGCTTGGAGAAAACTTAACCAGCCGCCACTGGATCTGAGCTACCATACACCAAACTAGTTTTGTTTTCTTTATTAGTGCTTACAGTGATGAAAAATACCCGATAGACGTCATACTTAGTCTTTTTTTTTTCATTCCTTGGAAGTATGTATTGTTATTCCTGGACTATAAGTTGCGCTCCGTAATTGCCTCTGCCCCCCCCCCCCCCCCCAGTCTTTGAACCCTGCGGCTTTTAATGTGACACGGTTTATTCATGAATTTTACTGATAAGTTTTCAGCCGTCAATAGATTCACGCATAGTCTCATCACATCGAGATGATGAATTCACCAAACACGTCACAGTGGATCAATGAAACTGTCCGATCCCGCCTTCATACGGAATAAGACCACTTGCAGATCTCCGGGTTGCAGAGGTAAGGCGCTCTCGTTGGCGACCAACTTTTCCTTTAGAACAATTGTGAAGCAGCATACAAAACTCTGATTTTGACCATTTCAACCGCTGGATTAAAAAAAAAAAAAAAAAAAGTAAACTATGTTGTTTGATACTCCTCCCACGGACTGCCCTCCGCTGACAGTTTTTAATGACATTTTGCTTGCTGTGTGTAGCAAGGAGGACATGTGTTCAATGCTGGGACATAAGGAATGACAAAGGTCGGACATTTGTGGTCATTTGCCCAGCCCGACGCTGCCAGAAAAACACAAATAGGCTGAATATTACGTTGTTTTGCTCACATGACGTGAGTGAAGTGATCTGAGGCGGTGTACCAGTCAGCGAATCAATTGCCATTGAGACATGCCACAATAATATTGAAATATGGAAACGTTTCTCCATTTCAAAAGTGACAGTGACAAGGAAATGTATTTCTGTCGGGCTGAGTCTCGGTAGTTTCACTGTACTGAGCTGTGAATGTGAATAAATGTACAATTTTAGTCCATCTTTTTCATCCATCTGGATCTTTTTCTGTCGGGAAATTGTGACTAATGAACAGAGGTTGAGGTTTTTTTTTTTTTTTTTCTTGTGAGACTGAGGTCTGGGATGCTACTGTGTAACTAGCTGCGTTCGGCATTGTTTGAGGTTGGGGGGGGGTATTTGCCAGTGTTTAAGGTAAAACTAATTTTTAGAAATCGATCTGTGTGACCCCTTTCTTTGCAAGCATCACACGTTACAACACGGAGACCCGCAGGTATTAAAACAAAGCGACCAACGAATGCACAAATGAGTTTTATGGCTAAATGTTGGTGTTGCGCCTTTTATTCAGGTGCGCTTTGTCATCCGGAAATTACGATACTCCGCTAGTATGTGGGCCCCTTGAAATAATACACAAAACAAAATTGAGGAAATGGTAAAAACAGTTGGCTAATCCTTTACCTCCTCATGCTTCTACAAGAGCTTGACAGTTGTCATGGTAGCGGTCAGACGTTGGTGTATGAATAAACAAATATGGACTTGGCATTTGTTATCTGACCTTCAGGTTTTTGAATATGAAATACTGTATATGCTTAACGTCTCCGGAGGGGTCACATCGTCCCTACCTCGGTGTTACATCTGTATATTCTTGACCCAAGTGTGAGCTCCAATTTCTTGTCGTTAGGAGAAGACTAGTTTCTTTATTGGTAATCAATGTTGATGTTCATGATTAGTATTGATTTAATGTGCACTGATACATTAGAGTGTAGAAGTTCCATGTACAAACCCAATTCTAATGAAGTTGGGATGTTGTGTTCAAAATAAAAACAGAATACGATCATTTACAAATCATGTTCAACCTATTTAATTGAATACACTACAAAGACAAGATACGTAACGTTCAAACTGAAAAACTTTCATGACTTTAGCACATAATCAGTAATTAAGAATTTTAAGGCTTTGTAGTGTATTCAATTGCATTCCATTAAAAAATATCTATATATATCTATCCATCTCTCTCTCTCTCCTATATATATATATATATACACACACACACACACACACACACATACATATATACACTGTGTATATGTATGTGTGTATAATACACACATACATATTTACACACGCACAATTTGCAAATCATTGTATTTTGTTTTTATTTATGTTCAACACTAGATCTCAATTTCATTTGAATTGGGTTTGTACAGTCAGGACAAACATTTACTACTTATGTTTCAAGCCAAATTATCCCAGTGGAAAACATGAACCCTTGTCAGAGAAAAAGAGGCTGAAATCAACCCAACACTTACAACCAGCGGTAGTTCATCTTCACACATGGGATGAAACACTTACTTGGCTGCACTTGTCTCGAGATTGTAAGTCTTGTTGTCCCAGTCATCAGGATCTAGCGTATATACCTTCCCCAGTATTACATTTTCCGTCCTTCCTGTTTCAGGTAAACACACACACACACACACACACACACACACACACACACACACACACACACACACACACACACACACACACACACACACACACACACACACACACAGTCTTTTGGGATGAGTTCTGCTGATGCCAACACTTATCTCCTTATCTTGCATTCTTGTCTACTTATGATCATAACTGTGCAGCCTACTGCTAGGATGAATAGGCTCCCAGCGCTCCACTTCAGAGAGTGTGGAGCTTCAGGAAGCCGGCCTATCTGAGTATGGATTATGTTATTATCAGCCTGCAGTGCCAGAGTAGCTGAGTGTAGCTATGTAAACAATGGCGGCCTGGATGAGTCACAGCGCTCCTGTTTTCCACCATTACCAGTACTTTGAGGCAGTTTTGCATGTCAATAAAATACTAAATGGCTTTCTTAACCACCTTATGCCAGAGGAGCCATTAAAAAAAAAAAAAGACAAATATATTAATGATGACTCTGAATTGTAATATGATATTCAGAGGAGCTTTGCGTTTGGAAGGCAAGGATACACTGTGGTACTGTGGTAAAAAGGTTTGACTATTACAAACTATTACAGTGTCATTGGAACAGCACCATTATAAATCCAGACTGCACAGAGCATGTACGGGAGTAAAAATTTTTGCCTTCAGCTGTACCCTAATTTTTCTCCTCATCAAGCAGTTTGTCACAAAAACAAAAGAGGAAGAAATGAGAGCAAATCAGCAACTTACCCCTGTGGCTATACACGTAGATATCTTTCTCCCCTGGCTGATGGGCATTATCATTGTGGTCACCAATGATTATAGTAAGTGTACTTGTGGCAGTCATTGGTGGATATCCACTGTCAATCATAATCACCGGCAAGAGGAATTTGCTTTGCCTTTCCCTGTCAAATCTCCGCAGCGCTGTGAGTGTGGCTGAGCCATTCCCATGATCCTGAAGGTGGAAGTCAGCTGAATAAACTGAAGGCAGGGAGATGTGGAAAGGAGGCCCGTGCTCTGGGGAATCTCTGTCCAAAATCTGAAGCAATGTTGAGCTTGTGTTGAGCATGACAACTTGAGGTGCCGGACTGTTTTCCCACACCACAGGATGGTAGACTGTCTCTAGCTCTGGACCGTTGTCATTTACGTCGAGCAGGGGCAAGTAGACAATGACACTGGCGGTCAGGGCTGGTCTACCTTGATCGATCGCTATTACAACCAAATCATAATTGGCCACGGTCTCTCTGTCCAGTGGCTGGGCGACTGTAATAATACCAGATTGACTCACTGTAAATTGTCCATATGAGTCAGACTGAGGAAGAATACTGTACAAAATCTCCCCATTTGAACCTGAGTCAGAGTCGGTAGCCACTACTTGGATGATCGTGGTTCCTACAGCTACATCTTCGTTCAAAGGGGAGAGCAGATGAGAACTCTGGGCAAAAACAGGAGCATTATCATTCACATCCTCAACTTCAACCAGACACTGGATAAGGCTAGAAAAGTCAGAGTCTTCTACTTTGATGGTTAAGTTAAACTTTTGCTCCACTGGTTTCTCAAAGTCCAGTTTCCTCTTTAATCTCAGAACACCCTTCTGGTCCAGTCTATGGCTAACCATATAGAACTGTTGTTCTGGGTCTCCATCTACCACAGAAAATGCCAGCTGACTGTACAAACCGGCATCAGGGTCAATGGCACCCAACTCCAGGATGATAGTGTCCACATCAGCATTCTCAAGCACACGAGCATCGCACTTCTCTTCCTGAAACTTTGGTACATGGTCATTAATGTCTGTTAAGAAAATGGTGGCAGTTGCTGTGCTTGTCATTCCACCGCCATCGCAGGCCTCCACGACTAGCCGATGACTGTCCACTAACTCCCGATCCAAGCCGTCAGATGCCACTGATATTGTGCCAGTGCTGGAATCCATTGAAAATAGGTCTTCATTGTTAATGTTCAGCACATTTTCAGTAATTCGGTAGGTGAGGATTGCATTCTGGCCTACAGCGGCATCGTCAAGGTCTACTGCTGTCATTTCCACAACAAAAGTTCCAGGAGGCGAGTTCTCGCTGATGCTACTAAGGCAATTATCTGGCAGGCATGAGAATGTGGGTGCGTTGTCATTGATGTCCCACACATTGATAATAACATCCGTAAAACCAGTTAATCCCTCGCCCTCCTCATCTGTTGCCATGACGACAAAGCGCCAGACAGCACGCTTTTCTCGGTCCATGGTGCGCTGGGCATACATCTCGCCCGTAATGTCGTTAATCATAAAGTGTGACTCTGTCCCTTGGCCATGGATGGAATATCGTATTGCCCCCTGGTCTGCATCTTTGTCTGGGTCAGTTGCTGTTACCTGTGGAGATAAAGTCAACATAAGGAAATGAATTTTCATTGATTTTTACCAAGAGCAGATTACTTTTTTTTTTATAGCTGCCCCGTGAAGGCAAAACAGGCCATCATTACTTCTTTAGAATATCTATGAGGTTCTTTTTTGTTCAGACCTCCAAATAAACAACATCTCTTTGGTAACGGATGAAGATACGCAGGGCGGCACGGTGATCAACCGGTTAGCATGCCAGCCTCACAGTGCAGAGGTGTCGAGTTTGATTCCAGATCTGGCCTTCCTATGTGAAGTTTGCATGTTCTTCTCGTGCCAGTGTGGGTTTTCTCCGGGTACTCCGGTTTCCACATTCCAAAAACATGCATGGCAAGTTAATTGAACACTCTAAAATTTCACAAGATGTAATTATGAGTGTAGATGCTTGTTCGTCCCGCGATCAGCTGGCAACTAGTTCAGGGTGTCCCCCACCTACTGCCCGAAGACAGCTGGGATAGGAAGGCTCCAGCACACCCGCGAACCTCGTGAGGATAAGCGGATTAGAAATTGGTTGGATGGATGGATGAAGATACACAAGTCCAACGGGCATAATGTATTTTCCAAATGGCATGTTATTTACCCATTCACAGTATAATATTTGAAGCATATAGTGACAGACATAATTAATCGCCTTAGAATAGTAGATCATTCTAGTTGTGTCATTACAATGTACCGTAAATCTGATTGTTCTGTGAAGGTGGCGAGCAAATCCCGATATTACAGCAAATAATGGGGCGCGCGCAAGAATAATCCCAGCACAGACACATCGAGACAGACATTCAAATACAATATCCATTCACACTGAGGGACAATGTATATACAGTAATAAACCTGGAGGGCACTGACACAAGCACAGAGAGAACATGCGCCCTCCACCAAGAACCGTGCTCTTGGGCACAGGTGTCAAAGTCCCATCCTCGAGGGCCACTATCCTGCATGTTTTACATGTTTCCATCCTCCGACAAACCTGATTCCGCTCATCACCAAGCTCTACAGGAGCCTGGTAACGATTCTGATCAGTTGAATCAGATGTGTTGTAGAAGGGAAACATCTAAAAAAAAATGCAATAAGGCACCTCCAAGACTGGAATTTTGACACCTGTGCTCTAACTAGTCAGGGTTAAGCACTTGGCCATGGCACTAGCTACAATGTAAAATTGTAATGCAAGTCTCTCACCTGTAGCACAAAGACCGGAGACCCATCAAGTTCCTCTGTGACTGATCCATAGTATTCATTCATGGAGAACACTGGTGCCTCGTCGTTCTTATTTACCACTGTTACCACAGCGGCAGCATAATCTTCCCACTTTCCATCTGAGGCAAGAACCAGCAGTTTGTACCTCTTCTGCTGTTCATAGTCCAGTGGCTGTGCAATGAATATTGTCCCCACCTCTGGCTCTATGTCAAAAACACCACCTTTGTTGCCAGACGTTATTTGGTAGCGCAACTTGGCATTGGCCCCTGTGACAGGAATCACAACAATGCATGAAAATACAAAATGTCTGTTGCTATTCTGATGTTAAACAGTTGTAACTCACCGCAAGGAAACAGACTTGAGGTGGCAGTTTTAAGAGGAAAGCTAAATTAAGAGGGAATAGCATTCGGACTACTGTTTCCCCAGTTGGCAATAAAACATTTTGATAATCTCTGCAATATGTATTCTGAAGTAGGATACTGTTTGTCTGGAACAGCTTAAATATAACCTCAAGGGTTTTAGACATTATTTCCTCCAAGGTATAAACATGAGTCGGCTAGTTTTTCATATGCCCTCTCTTTCTTGTTTTGATTACTTAATAAAATTGAAACTTTACACCTCATGTTAGGTTTATTTTATTTAATTTTTTTAAGACCAGTCAAAAGGGGAAAATACATGGCAAACAAAAGTAAGATACTGCACAAGTGTTGTCTAGGGCACGCTTTTAAAGCCCGAACAAAGGGGCGAGGTGAATGTTGTGTGATTGTCTAAAATCACCCACTGTCTCGCTGTCTACATGGAAAGCATTCATTCAAAGGGCTTGACATTGGAAGAGATAAAATAATCTCCTGGAATGGACAGCATTTGCTTTCAATCACCCCACTGGGTTTAAATAGCTCCAATCCCATGTAAATACTCTAATCTGAACTATTAACAAAACCAAAGCTGACAAAGTGCACCCAGTTCTCCCACTGTGACCTGGCAGGCTTACAGTGGTGAAGCCCAGGGTTAGGTTTTTAAACAAAATAGATTAAGCAAAGAAGTGAAACAGTGCAACACTTTAATATTGGGGGTTCGTGTTATTCCGCAACTATTCATCATTCGTGCTGCAGTTCAGACTAAGCTGCACCCCCACTCACCATAAATACTTGATTAACAGACCTAAACGGGTCCGATAAAGGGATCTCAGTCTACTACTGTATGCAGAATGAGAAACTGCTTTATTGCTTAAATCCCAACCACCCACTGAGTGGGAGCTTGTCACTCTTTTTGGAACATATGTACATCAGTGCATTACCAAACCATTAGTGCTTATAAATCCAGTGCACTAAAACGGTGTCAGCAAAATGATTTCAGATCAGTCCAGATTGGATACGACTATTCAAGGGGTCATATTATGTATATGGGACACTTTTTTTTTTTTTTTTTTTTTTTTTTTTTTTTTTAAATTACTCTACTTCGCACACCACACTCCAAACACAATTGCTGTATTCTGAGAGAGGGTCGTCTAGAAAATAAAAAGCCCAATAAAACAGTAGCAGTTGTCTGGTTTCTTCGAATTTCATTTGTAAGAAGTGTCATTCGTAAAATATTCTATTCCCCCTCACCCAGTTGCCTCATCAGGCATACCTTCATCTTCATCATTAGCACTGACAGTCACAACAGCCAGACCCACATCTGCGTCCTCATCCACGGCCACTTCATAAAGCCTCTGAACAAAGGCCGGTTTGTTGTCGTTGACGTCGCTGATGAAAACTCGAACATATGCCGTGTCTGTACCAAAAGGCCATAATGGTAAAAGAGAAATCAGAAAAGGCACAGCACAAATTCAGGCAACATTTTGACAGGTATTTTGTATCCTGTGCATTCTTTTCCTGTTTGTTAAGGGAGTACAGTACATAAATTAATGTCACACAGAAAAAGTGCCATGTGTTGACATGGAGATCTGGGGCAGTGGTTTTATGAAAGCCCTGACGTAAATCATATAAACTCTTGGCTTTACGATAGGATGTTAGTTAACATGGTGAACAAATGAATGCAGCAAATGCTCCAATTTCTTTTAGCAAACTCAGGATAAAGAAAATAACTCTCTTGGCTAAGTTAAATTTGTATAAGTGGACAAGTGTTTTTGTCTTATCTGTACCTTGGTCATTCCATTTTCATTATGTTGTTGACTTTTTTTGTGTGTTTAAAAAAAAAAAAAGTAAATTATCTCCTCACAAAAACACACAGGTGATATGTTAATTTAAAGGCGGAAGAGAAAGTGATAAATGTGGGCAACTGGGGCTGCCTTTACGTGTTTTTACACCCACCCGCCCCTCTACTTGTGTATCCCAGGGGTGATGAAGAGAGACAGGTAATGTTTGCAGAGGAGATGAGCCCTTCTGGATGTGGGAGATACGTCGCATAAGACACAGCTAAGGCAGATTGCAAATGCTAAGCAGGCCAGCCAACCTGAGAGAGAAGGCTTTCCTGTTTCAAAACATCAGACTTTAGGTATAATACCATCTTCACAAACATTTGCAAAGACTTACTTTGGAAAATAAACTTATTCACGTCATTCTAGATACAGAGAGAGGATTTATGACTTCCAAAATGCCACTCAGACAGCACTGTAAATAAGAAGTGTTACTGTTTGTTGAAAAATTTGCAGTGAAAATTACAATTGAGGTGAGAACTTTCTCAGCTGTTTTAACAGGAAGAAGCATGAAGCAGCACGGTCATGGTGGAGTAATACATCCAATTAAGAGTCAGGGGGCCCTGGGTGAAAGTGGAAGTAATGTCAATGAGTGCTGTTTTTAAGAAAAAGCTCAACATTTCATTTTTATTTATCGGCATACGGAAAACTTCTGGGACTCACAATGTGTAATTATGTTTAATAATGATGGTTTTATGAAAAATAAAGACCGTCTTTCTCTACAAAAATGCTTGTTTTTATAAATAATCTTAATAACAACAATGGAAGTCTTTATTGACTTCACTTCACATGTATATTTCTCTTTGTATAAAATATACTGTAAAGATGGTCTTTTTCTTAATATCCATCCATTAACCGGGACTCTTATTCCTCACAAGGGTCACTGGTGTGTTGGAGTCTATCCCAGCTGTTTTTGGGCAGTAGACAGGGTACACCCTGAACTGGTTACCAGACAATTGCAATTTGTTTTCTTTTGTTTTTTTATGTTGTTCGGCAAAACTACTAATTGCAAAGCTTTAATTTTTTGGGGGGGAGAAGTCTAAAGTAAACACAAAGTTACTAAAGCTGGATCTTGAACCGAGCAATAAACGCATCAATGACACTCACCAATAGCTCATCGAATAAAAGATAAACATGCATTCAATTTAGAGTATTTATATTTTAAAACATTCTTTTTCATTCTTATTGAACGTTTGTCTCTTTCATAAGGTGACTCAGCTCTACAGTAGCAACCTCTACGAATGAGAATCCACTGAATATGACCATATTATTCATTACCTGAGTTGGGTTGCTTGTTCTTGCCAGGCCGAGCAGATTCTTGTCCATCCACTGACTGAACTTCCAGCAAATAGGAGCTGCGGGCCTCCCGGTCAAAAATGGCTTCTGTGTAGATTATCCCAAGATTGGGTTCTATTCTGAACAAAAGATGGTCACCACTGCTGTCGCTCAGCAGAGAGTAAGTGATCTGTGGATAAAAGGGAATGCGCATGACTAACACAAGGCTGATTTTGACAAATAATCTGCTAAAACGGGAAAGTTAATATGACGCATCCAATGTTCATGAAGGAAAACAGACTGATCATATGGTTGAATGATATTGCCACTGACAATTACACACTTACAAAGCTTCACAAAACATTGTTGCTGGAGACATTTGGTATTGTAACAGAACATTGATGGTTTAATAAATTGGTCATGAGTGAGGAGGTGTCTAAAATGTTTTTGGAGTTTTTTTTCACAACAATTTTCTTAGAGTGCCTTATTGGGTAATAATTTGTGCAAAGGGGTATCAGTTTGATCAACACTTCTGAAATAACATATCTGCTCAAATGACCTTTAATTGCCTTATTATTAATGATTAATCATATTCATTTATGTGAAGACGCAGATAATGTTCATGATCAGCAATGATTTAAGAAGGTGGGAAACAGATAAATATTAATACGCGGCATGTTATTTATGTAAATCTCTCGGTAATCTGCTCTCGGAGAGTTTACCTTTTCAAACGATCATGAACATTTTACAACATTTATTGAAAATGACAATGCCCCATCACCGGTGAGCTATTTTTGGAACAAACTGAGAGACTGGTTGGAGACTCATTTTGTCCTTAGATGCAACCTGTTACTGGCCGGCAGTATGTTGGTGTTTTTCTCGATCCTTTTTGTTTACTTGCTGTCACTGTCAGTCTTTGTGACAGAGATTTCTAATACATCAATATCAATTAGGTATTATGATATTTGACATAAGGGCCAACATAAATGAGGGGAATCATGTAGCCCAGGGATGGGCAACTGGCGGCCCCATTCTGGGCGGCCACTTGATTAATTACACCACCACCACCACCATAATTAATTCATTCATTAAAATTGGCGGTATTTATTGATTTCATTTTTACAAAACCCGCAAATTCTTCACAAATCCTGATAAACACTCAATATGTTTACCATGAAAAAAGCCAAATGGGGTAAACATCCCGGAAAATGAATTTTTTATTTTTTTTTTAAATCCCCAAATACGTGAATCTGCATATATCGAAGAGGGAATGCTGGGATTGTCTGCGGTTTTAAGTTGTAATAACACCATTCACCACTAGATTGCAGGCATGTCTAAATTGCTGGATCTTCTATATTATAACATGAGTAGTCAGCTTTTTTGTGGATTTGGAATGATGTGCAAGAGAAATACAGTAGCTCAAGAATATTTAAATTTTGCATAAGTTGATTTTTGTGGAGACAATTTACAAAATATTACTTTCTTGTTGGTTCAGCAGGTGTTTTTTCATGCAAGAGAGCCATTTGCAGTGAAACAAAAAAACAATTACAGGATGTGGTTATTTTGTTTGCTTCAAACCCTTTTTGTTAGCATAGTGGATCTTTTATACATGCATTGAAAAAAGTATTATTAAAAGGTAAATATATTAAGAGCATATATTTTTGCATATATTTTGTTGACATCAAAACTAGCATTTTTGTTATACATTTGGTTAGAAAGTGTGTTGTCCGATGTGGCCCGCAGTCACACTGATGACAAATTGTGAACCCCTCCTCCAGCATTTACCTTCCCTTTGCCATGCATCACCATCTCTTCACTGGGCCATAAATTCACCAGAGCAAATGAAGCTTTATCTTTATGTTCGCAAGAAATCTTTTGATTATTTACACCATTACGGTGAAAAAAAAATGCACGGTCAATATAATCTTGTGTTAATTGTCTTTAGATTTATTTTGTCCACAAAACATGATCAAATAGTCAAGTAAACAAGTACAAACCTCTCCATTATGACCTAGGTCTTTGTCATGAGCTGACACCTGAAGAACTGAGGTTCCTATTTGCGCCCCCTCTGTGACTGATGCTTCGTAGATGGATGATGTAAAGAATGGCACGTTGTCATTTACATCTTGGGAGAGAAGAGACAATTACGGGAGTCGCAGTAAATTTTCACAAAGTAATTTATAGTACTGCCAAAGTTTCTGTAATCATGTTTGCCTTTCAGATATTCCGGGAATGATATTTCTCCACGTGCATGTCCAATAAATATAAAATAAGCAGCATATTAAATTAGACATTAAAACACTGCAATCAGTCGACTGGTTAGCATGTCAGTCTCACAGTACAGAGGACATGCGTTCAATCCTGGGATCCGGCCTTCCTGTGGAGTTTGCATGTTCTCTTCGTGCCTGTGTGGGTTTTTTCCAGGTACTCCTCCCTCATTCCCAAAACATGCACGGTAGGTTAATGGATTACTCTAAATTATCTTTAGGTGTGATTGTGAGTGTGAATGGTTGTTTGTCAATGTGTGTCCTGCAATTGGCTGGCAAGCAGTTCAGGGTGTACCCTGCCTCCTGCCCGAAGACAGATGGGATAGGCTCCAGCACACCCTTATATATATAGCTACGCCATTCCAATAGCTGTCGGAGTCCCTCCAGCAGCGCCATCACTCTGGCTGTTGTCGAGGCACCCAAAGCTGCCACCACATGGAAGTATTTTGTGACATTCTGCTTTATTTCTCTCGGCTTGAACTGGGCCTCGATGTGCTGAAATCACAGCCATGGGCCATGTTGCCAAAAGTAGGGCAACTTCACCGTTGTAGCATTGATGTTAGCGTTGATAACTGACATTATTACTCACGTAGGGGTCACCAGTTGTGGAGATGAGGTAAATGACGAGATGAAGAGACAAAGTCGAGTCATGTCTCATAACTCTCCAAAACAAAACTCACTGTTTAAGCAGCAAGCTAGTTCCTTTCAACCCTTTGAACTCACAAACAAGTATCCTCTCCCTTAAAGGAAAAGTTCCCTGGTGAGTATCTCTCCCTTGTGGGTCACCACAGTATGTTATATACATTGAAAAATAACGGAGTGGTGAATTTACTCAATTTGGTCAAGTGGGTGCACAAAATAAAATCATCTGCATCTTGAGACATTTTTAAGTCGACTTAAAAAATGTCTCTGGCTACAGATGATTTTATTTTCTGTCCAACCAACCTCTTGACAAAAAAATGAGTAATTTCAGCAAAAACTTTTTTTCAGCTATTTATTTTGTGTCTTTTTTTCAACAGGAGGATTATAGTAAGTGAAAATGGATACAGACAAAAAAAAAAAGTGAAACTGCTACATCATAAGCAAGTGACAGACATAGCAGCCATACCTGTGATATTCACATAAACTGTGGTGAAAGCTGCAAGCGGCACTGCAGCCACGTTCTGTGCTCGCACTCGCAGAGAAAAAAGGGGAGTCACTTCAAAGTCCAGAGGCTCAGACACCAAGATGGAGGCAGAGCCATCTTCCCGATTGGGGGAGAGGTAGAAACGAACTGGCATGTTTGTTTCCGGGACCATTCCATCCTCCAGATTGTAGGTCACCCTCGGGTCACCAAGCTGAGAAGTTGCCTTGATTGTCTGAAAAGAGTCCAAAGACAGACGAATCAGCCTTAATCTTAACATAATAGACGCTTGATGGAAAATCATGGTAAAATTCCCTATAGACCACATAGAGTATTGTGCTGTATTGTTGAACTGTCCTCGGTTTCACAATTTGACTGGTATCTCACTGAGCGGCGAAGGCTTGCGACCATAGCCTTGTGAATTTGGGGTTTTCATCAGGGTTCGTAAAAGGTTGAGTGCATATTCGCAGACAGTTTTTACTTGTCCCAGACAGTAAAAAAAACAACTAATTTTGTCGTAATGTTTTTTTTTTAATAAAGAAAATAGCACTCTGTATTATCTATACTTTCTTAAATCATTTTGTAATAACATAAAGAAATAGCTTGTAAATAATTAAACGCTTATGCATCAAGTTTAATCGCAGCTCTTTCTGCTGGGTCTCATATAGTCATGCACTGTTTGTAATGTTGTTGAGTTGAACCAAAAATAAATAACATGCTGCCGCTGAGAGCAAAGCACCTTTTCACTGAGCTAAGTAACAAGTTGCGTTGTTCATTAAACTGTGAGGTAGAGTCACTAAAAAATGAGTCATACTGATGCCATTTTCAGTTGCACACCTTGAAGTTGCGATTAGCAACTATTCTTAAAGGTAAAATAAAATAAATCCTCATCATATATTATGTGATGATATCACGTAAATTGTCAGTACATCTCTAACAGGGTGCTGCATCCGTTGTAATCTAATGCTCCCCACCACCACCCTGCCTTTGTTCCGTTGCCTTTGCTCAATAGGAATCTTAGAAAAAAAGAATCCAGTTTCAGTCAATTGGACTCGTGGAACGGATAATGGTTGTACTTTGAGGTGTGCCACCTTCATAACAAATATGAGGACAATTACAGTTTATATTATTAGTGGTCATCCAGACTCAAACATTTAGCGGGTAGGTTTCATCATATAACAATATGATGAAATGGACTTTTTTTGAAGGGATGTAATTACAAAAAAAAGGCAATGAATTTGTTGGAGCATTTTACACTGAGTAGTATCATCCATCAGTGATGCAGCCACAAAACACAGCATTAGTCGTTTTCGGCATTTTTCTGACAGCTTATCAGCGTAAAATATAGTGAGGAGCAAACGCGGAGTTGTTAGCTGAGCAGCTGCAAGCACCAGGCAACGGCATCACTTCACAGAAGTAATCAACTCTTCACTGTGACAATGATGTTGTGATACTCACACTGCGTGTATCACAAAATCAGATTAAGGGTCCTCAAAGAAAAATGAAAATGGTGCAATTATTGATTGATTTAATCAAAACAAGAGTTTGTTTTGATCCCAATAGAATTCAGCAAAGTGTAGAATGAAAGTGGAATTATGTTTACCCACAGGAACCACACGTGTAATCGAATCAAACAACACTTCAAGTTATATGAGTATCAAATCTTAACCTTCAAGTCCCAAGCACATTGCCAATCATTTTGTCTTGGGTAAGTCAAGTTGGGTCACAAGCTGTTTCAAGTCAAATCAAGTCCCAAACCGAGTCACCTTGTTAATGCAGTGTTTAGTTTTCATAAAAGGAGAGGACCAGCGAGGTCACATCATGATATCTTTGGCAATCTAGCAGAGCTGTATGGATAGATGTGATGTGTTGCTTATGAGTCAATGCCTGAATGTCAGCAAAATAGGATTTTGTCCGCTAACATTTGCAAACCAATAACCGACCTTAGGAAAAGGCTCATGAGTTTTCAGATATTTGGGCAGAATGGGTCTTCAAATGATAAACCATGTCCAATGTTCGAGTCTGGCTGTCCAATTTCTTTGATGAACACATTTTTTATTTTGCATTGTGCCAGTTTAAATCACGCTTTGACATCTGTCTGATATGAGAGGATGTGCTTCTTCAAAGGTCGAGGTTTGACTGACAGCATATCCTCCAATCATGACAGCATCATTCCAAGCATGTTCTCCCATACTCACATCTTGCATTATCAACAAATTGATACTGTATTTTGTGCTAACATCTAGCATGTAGAATAAACAATCATCACGGCTGTCAAATCACAATGTCATGTCATCAACTCAAGTTAAGCAGATAACTCCCGAGTTTGAGGCAAGTCTCAAGTCTTTCAGTTTTGAGCAGGTCAAGTCACAAGTCACAAAACAGTGATTCAAGTTGACTTGAGTCCAAATCGCATCTCCGGGACTCAAGGAAATCTCAAGGAAAAGAAATGATTTGCTTACTTTATTTGACACAAAAAAGATAAAAGTCATTCTTTTGAAAACCTGGCAGGATCATTATTTTTTGAGATGCATGGAAGTGAAACTGAAAGTGCTGGAATTCAGAAATGGACCAATTGCTGTTCTCCTTGAACATTTTTCTCGGCATTCGAGTTAACATTTTTACATTTTCAGGAAAACTAACACAGTCAGGGGCAGAGCATTGAAACTCCACATTTTGTAATCTCAAGGAGAAAACCCTCTATTTCAAACCTATTTTATTAAGTGAGTGAAAAATAGAGGGTTTTTTTTTTTTCTTTACAAACCATATTTTTTACCTATCTAAAGACTTGGACCACAGACAGTTTGCTTTCATAATCCATCTATTTTCTATACAGTCCTCCGTATTCTTTTCAAGGTCCCTCAGTATACATACAAAACAGGTTTCAGTCTATTCAGACTCACAAGCGGTGTCATAAACTTTGACATGCCACCAGTCAGTGACAGGGTGAGCGAACCACACCATTACCAATGACTGTTCAGTTAATTGTAAATCAGTATACTGTACGAGCTTCATCCAATAGTCTGCCTTTACTCAGAGTACAAAAGCACTCAGTAGAGCATGACCGCCCCCAATGCTGGACCATTGAACATAAGAGAGAAAAACGAAATGTCATGTTTGTCCATCAGTCTCTTTAATTAGCAGGTTACTCCATGTTTCATGGAGGATGATGTAAGACATTGGAAATGGATGGGTGGGTGCTGTTTTTTAATGTTATTCTTCATGCTCTCTAGTGAAACAAAACAACAACAACAATCCATTTATGTGCAATTAGTTGCATCATTGTCAATTAACCATTTGCTTATAGCTTGCTGAAGTAAATGGATGGATGGGACTGTGCCCTCCTTTTAGGCCCTCAAAAGGGCACTCTTACCACTATAGGTGTGTCTCTGGCCGTGTTTTCAGGGATGATGACACTGTAGCTTTCCTCTTCCCATTGTGGAGGTTGATTCTTTACGTTGGTGATAGTGACGGCCAGCTCCACAGAGGTGCTCTTGTTCCCTCCATCAGTTGCGCTGATGTCCCGTGTGATGTAGCTTCTCTGAATTCAACAAAGGCACGAGACAATAGACAACGCGAGTAAGGGGCGTCCTTGAGTTGAAGAAAGCTGACAGATTTTTTTTTTTTTTGATGAGCACATAATGTATTTGTAAAATATTCAAAGCATGTACTATTCCCAATTGTTGGTTTTTTTTGTTTGTTTGTTTGTTTCTTTGTTTTTTTAAAGTGTTTTCATGTACAATACAGTTATGGCTGTTGACAAAAAGAGCCTATTCCAGCTTTCTTTTGGCAGTAGTCGGGGGACACCCTGAACTGGTTGCCAGCTAATTGCAGGACACACAAAGACAAACAACCATTCACACTCACAATCACACCTAGAGAAAATTTAGCATGATCCATTAACCTGCCATGCATGTTTTTGGAATGTGGGAGGAAACCGGAATACCCGGAAAAAAACCCACGCAGATACGGGGAGAACATGAGGGCACTGTGAAAGGCCAGCATGCTAACCAGTTGACGACCATGCTGCCTATCATACAGGATTAATTTATCATTTTTATATATTATATACTGTGTGTAATATATATATACATATATAAAGAGAGAGAGAGAAAGAGAGATGAGTGTAATTAAGGCCACATGACTTAATAATACCTGAACCAAAATCTAGGTAGACCGACAGAGAAATGATTCAAATCCACTTAATTAGGAACAGCAATAACAACAGAAGCAGCAATGTGAGCTGTGCAGAAGATGATTAAGCTGTAACTCAGGTAGCACAAAAGCTCCTTCATTGCTGTTATTCTATAATTGGGAATGGCTTATTTCACTCGCCTATTCGTCCACTTAGACAGTGAATGTCCAAATTAGCTGAACACCTCATTGGAGTGTTGGCTTCTATGTCTCCTTACAGCATCAACATTGCACTCAAGAATAAAACTAGTGTTAATGCATTAACAACCAGTGAGTCCCTTGTGATTTTTTTTTTGATAGAAAATGCAGGCCATGTGGTACCATTTTTTATTTCACAGGAGAAATAAATTGTTAACCCTGAATATGTCAAAACTTCAGATGCAGTATGTTGTCAATGGAACTAAAGGCCTCACACTTCTATTATTCTCTTACTACATTATTGTGGGATGAGATAAAGGAATCTCACATCACAATTCTGTTTTCTCTTCCAGTAGAAATTCAATTTGCATTCTCGAGCCAGTACAATTATTCCGTGAAACTAAAGAATAATATTCTTGTTCGTGATGTCCATTGTGGACACAACGGTTGCTTTAAAAGCATGTGAATGACAGACTTCTGATTGTTCGCGCCTAGCCACATCTTTAAATTAAATTTACATCAAACATGTCGGATTAAAAGCAGAAAATATCCACGAAACCTGCGCAATGTAACCTTCACTATCTTTTTCAATTATTCCTCTCAACAATGTGTGAAAGCGCATACCTTTACTGTCTCTGGCATATGAATACGCGCTGCTGTTCAATGTCAATAAATTCCCATTGGGAACCATGTAGTGATGTGAATTTGTACCATAATACTTGTTTTCTGCAAAGTGAGGCTGTGAGAAGGACAAATGGAATAATGTCCCAGACCAGAAATTTCAAACATAACAATTCATTGATAGGACTTTTATAATTTGAGTTGTACTGCAGATATTGTGTCGTGATTCAGAAACCATCTGGAGCCATTTTTAAATGTGCAATAGCTTCGTTTCGTGTAGGTTTGGTCTTTTAATTTCACATAAAGTCAGTGGAAGAAAGTCTTATAGACTTTTGATACCCACGTGCTAAAAAGTGTGCTGAATAATACACAGCTCTGAGTGCGATCACAAGTTTCTGGCTCAAGAACAGCTGCATATTTGAATAAATAAGAGATTTAAATACAAAGCAATAAAAAAAAAGAAAAAATGTGCACTGCACCTATGAAAAATTCAAAAGTTGACTTTCTGACACTTACAGTCAACTACAAGGGTGCAGCCGACCTCAGGACGGCCATTGGATGTGAAATGTGTACTATGCATACAAATCTGGCTGTCCTTGATTCAACCCTTGGATATTTAGACGCAGGACGCGTTATCACGAGTATAATTAAGCTTTAAAAAAGGAATCCACTCAGCATTCATCCATTTTACATATATATATATATATATATATATTTGTTTATTTTTGCACATGTTGCTGGTTACTAACAAGGAGCTGAAGAGTAAAACATTTTTAAAAATCAGTTTGAGCCATAAATGGACCAATACAGCTCTTGGTTCAATTTGAATTTATTTTTAAACTATTCTATATACACACTGATATGTTGACCCATTGGTTTTAACGTTTCGAGAAGGTGACGTAACAGTTTGAGTGCATAGATTGATCCCAAAATGTCAGCCTCACTCCCGAACATTTTGTGAGTGGTGTACCTCGCGTTGCACAATGTGCGGTTTTAACTGCTCTAGACTTTGTGCAAATATCTTGTTTTTCTATCATCTATTCTATTATTTTTTGTAATACCCTGCGACCGACTACTGTCAACCATTTCAGGAAGTAGTCTGCCTTCCGCCTAAAGTAAGCTGGGATCGGCTCCAACAGCTCCCCTCGACCCTGTTCAGGATTAGCGGTGTTGAAAATGGATGGATCCATGTTATATGATAATGATTTTTGTCCATTATACTGTATGTTTTTTTTTTCAATCCTGTAAGCAGTAATAAGGTCTTATTGTTATAAGGGTGTGTTGCTTCAGTGTCGAATTGTGTGGTTTGGAAAGTTCAAAATGAGACTTCAGTATGTTGTCGAGCAATTCTTTACCGCAACAGGTGCCGCAGGGTAAGAAGCTGAGAGACAAAAAGAATGAGCATTGCCCTCAAGCTCAAATCACTTCCATTTCCTGGTCGATGGTTAGCTTCTCCTGGCCCAGCAGGAACTGCCAATCCTCGTGCTCTTTTTTTTTTTTTTTTTCGATGTCGAAAAGCGTCCTCAGCTCAGCGTCCAGTAAGAATTCCGGCGATTCTCGACTTCAATTGAAAGATATTAGCTCGCCAGTAGGTGACCGTTGTGTGTTAGGCGTGCGTTTGAGTTTGTCTCCGGCTGCTGAGAGCAGCGATGGAATGGTTAGTTAGTCAGGAGGTGATCGTTCGGGCAACATTCAGCCCAGCCAGTGTCACGCATGGCAAAATACACGGTTAAAATACACATGTTCACCCTATTGAGACCAGTTGTTATGGTGGAAACTTTGGCCGCTTTGCGGGACGGGAAAATATCATCAGATCGGAATGAAATTTTACACAGAACCTTGTACCATTGTATCGACAAGAATTCCGACCCGGCCCGACGAATCCGACAAACTTTTTTTTTTGCCATGAAAATGTGGACCACCCTAATATATATACATACACACACAATAGTGAGTTGGGGAATAGTGATTGATTTGCGAATGGATGAAGGCTGAGTGGATTCCTTTATATTGGAGAACTCAACGGTATTGGTTGAAATATGCACCTTTTTGCATCTGTCAAGCCTGAGGGCCAGAAAAAATGGTTAGAATGTTCCAGAAGAAGCCAAACGTCCTTGATATGTTCTAAGGAGGAAAAAATTATGCATCAGTATCCTGCCATTGTGTGGTGAATGCAAATGTTATTTTTAATGAGTAACTATGAAGTGCGAGTTGGCCACACATAGCACCTCACATGAATATCCCAAATTATTACAGATAATGAACTACAAAGGAAAAAAAAATAAATTGTCTCAGACAGCAATGAGCTCTCTAATCAAGGTTTTGTCTATTGAGAATGATTAGCTCAGAATGATAATGCATCCTATTTAAAACGATACATCTTTTGAATTGTAGTTGTATCTGTTGCAGTAGGCAATCTTGTTTATTTAAAAAAAAAAAAAATGTCTGGCTACTCTCATGTTACCTATCTGTCATTCGATTCAGAATATCTCCCTCCAATTTTTGTCCAGCCTGTTGCATCTGTACACATACCCCACTGTGGTTGCACAGACTGTGTGAATAAGTGTGTTTGCACGTCTGCAGCCTTATTTGACTGACCTGTGATATTGGCTGGTTCACATACACCCATCCAGTGAGCGCATTGACCTTCAGGTATTCTGGTTGCTCCGTAGACATGGAGTAAGTGACTGCTGCATTGGTGCCAAAGTCATCATCATGAGCTGCCACACGCAGGAAACTGGTGCCGATCAGAGTATCCTCTCTCAAGAAGTCTATAGAGGACACACATGAGATGATAGGAGAGCTCTAATCGTTGAGGTGAAAATGTACGTAATTAAGATTTTTAAATGGATATAAGGTTTTGAAAGCATTGGAGCAACAAAATGTCAGACACTGAAAATGATTACCAGCTCTGACAGTACTGATGCTTCTGGGCTGCTATTTTTAAAATCTGTTCTCTAAAAGATTCAATCCCCATTGCAAATTATATTTGACTTATGTTTATAGATTTCGCAATTGTTACAAATTTGAAGCAATGAACCAATGAAACGAGGCCAACTCGGCTCAACACAACTAAATTGATAAGTGATAATAATTAACAAACTCAATTAACAAATAACATGTAATTTACTCTGGTGGAGAATACATTTAAGATAATGTAAGATAATATCATATTTATTTGTCCCGCACTGGGGAAATAACTATAATATATAGATACAAGCATATATGCAACTGCATATATGAAGCATAAGGTGGCTGTGCTATTTACAATGGTAACAGGTTTTCACGCATGTTTATTCAGCAGCCTGACAGCTTGAGAACAATTGTAGATACAAACTTGTAGTTTAGCATTTCACTTTCACAACATCTACAGCACACTGTTTTAATAGCTGCTGCCTCTGTCTCGGTATGAGAGGCTCCTTTGTCATTCCATAGCTTAACAGTTCAAACCTTCATTTATTTATTTTTTTTCCAGGTGACAGTCAACAGGTATTCAGAGCAATGTACAAATGAGGTATACAAAAGGTTATGCGTTTTAATTTAAAGTAGTAGTCATTTAGGACTTACACTCATAGCGCATGTTTTCAAACTTGGGGCTATTGTCATTCTCATCCACTATTTGGACAGTGAGCTGACAGATTCCAATGAGCGGCTCCTCGGCCCAATCAGTGGCCGTCACTGTAACAGAATACTCTCTTTGGCGCTCCCTGTCAAACCTCTGGGCCGTCACAATTGCTCCTGGGTGGACAGAACAGAACAGTAATCAGCTGTCAAATGTTTGTATATGACTATATACATATCCAACAATACATTCCAACATTCTCAATCAACACATGCATTTATCCTTCCTCCATGGATACAGCTATCATCAAGAAAGTATCAGTTGACGGGTTATTTTCGACTGAAGTCGTTTTAGGATTATAGATGATGATGAGGCTGACAACAGCATAACCATTTAACATCATGGGCCTCATATTGGTAGACTGGCACCCGTTAAAATGGGCCTAGCTCCATTTTCGTGCCAGCCCAAGTCTAGTCTAGCGTCTTTGTGTCCGTGTTTCGCCTGTCTGGGCGTGCCGGCGCAAGGAAGCAGCCACGCCCCTGGTGAGAGGAAGTAGTCTGCGCTCGGCGTATCAAAAGGGAGCATTGTAATTTTCATGACGGGACAATGGTGTAGTTCAGCGTGTTTGTGAATTTGGTAGACGTGCTACGCCTCACTGGGTGTTCCTGCTGTGCCCTCGAGTGCAACCAACAATTTGGTGACAACAAGTAAACTCAATTTGAGACTGCTTAAAAGGTGGTCACACACACGGATCTACGTTTGGGAGGTGCAAGGCTAACTCCCCGTTACACCCAATTCTGCTGATGTAAAGCCAAGCAAAATACCACAAGAAGGAAAACTCCACCGATGTTAGTAAGGGTGTGCTAGACTTGCACCCAAAACGAAAATAGTTGTTTTCAGATTTCACAGTACGCACAATATTGAGATAGATTTGTAGTCATATTTTTTTCTGTTAGTTCTTACTTAGCTACCTGTAAATTCCATTTCTCCGAATATTCCAACTCAATAAAAGAACCAAATTTGTGGATTGTTGAGGATGGTTAGGCTATTGCCTTTCCCGCCGCTAACACTGTTGTTAAAATTGTGCACTTTTTATGTCAAGTCAATGGCAAGATCATCAAGAGAAAAGCAATGATACAGCAAATATGTTTTTTTTGCCTTCTCAGCATTCAATTTCTACAAGAATTGTATTTCTAGCTTCAGGTTTTGGCAGTTTTTGTGATTTGGAAACTCCCATAAGAGCAAAAAGCCTGAGTTAAAGTGACACGTGATAGTCTCTGCTCTCAACTGAAGTTGAAGCCCATTAAAACTATTACAATGTTACATCGTCTGCACTAAATGTTTAATTGATGATTTCAAGCTAAGAATGTGTGTGATTGCTCTACCTGAGTCTGGATGAATTCTGAAGGCAGGCATGGCGCTGTCTCTGTGCATTAAGCCATATTTGACTTTTCCATTTGCTCCCTCATCTGCATCCACAGCATGCACTTGTAACACAAAAGTGCCTGTTGGCTGATTCTCCAGCACTGAAGCCTGCTCACGATATTGCTGGCACTGAATATAAGTATGGTGGGAAGGATAGACACACACACAAAAAAAAAAAAACAAAAAAAAAAACAGAAGAATCCCCACACGTGAGGTAAAATGCTGGGAGACTGAGAATCAAACAAGGTACCTAATTAGGTTGCAGGTCACTGCACATTCGTAGCCAAGTGCTTCACATGAAACACATACTGTTTCTATCTACAGACCGAGACCCAGTAGACCCCATCTATGAAAGTGAAAACACTCGAGTTGATCCTTTTGAAGATCCAGCAATGAGCAGCTTTGTCTTTGCCAGGACTCAATCCATTACCTCTAATGAACATACACCCCAGATAAAAAGCTTCTCCGTCGGGCCCTTGTAGTTTATAATCAGTTATAAATGCTTGCATCTCTTTCAACCAAATGGCCATGAAAAAGAGAAAGATGAGAGGAGGGTAGCAGACATGCACAACTTAAGTATGGGAGATGGATCAAAGAACAATGAAAGGAACAGAAGGCTTCAAGGCCCAAATGCATTGGCACTGACAGTCTCAGTATTTTGTTCAAGGAACCACACCAAGTATGAAGTCCTGCTAGGGCCAATATGGTAATATAAGATTTTTCAAAGTAAAGCAAGTTTACCCTGCTAAAAAAAAAACAAAACAAAACAGCACAGACCAACATGGTTTTGTTGTTTTTTTTCGTGCTGGTTTTGATGGTGTGACCAGCAAGAGCAAATCAGCAGTAGCAGCAAAAGCAAAACAAAACAGCCATGATTCAAAGAGCTAAACCTTCAGTCATTGGTGCAACTCTCTCAATTTAGCCAAAGCCGCACAGCAAAATCACCATGCTGTTATTGCCATGGTAATAGCTAGGCACCATACAACAGGCCCCATATAAATACATTGTCAGCAGAATAAAATCATTTTTAATGCCCTTATTGGGCGATTGAACGTTATTTCAGGACGTCGTCGTGTTGAGCATACCATAAACAATTGTTGCTGTGGTTAGCTTGGTTAGCATCTTAGCAGTGTATACTTACAGAACAATGTAACTGAGGCAGAAAAATGCATCAAACATTTTAAGATTCAAGAGTTAATATTCCGATTTTACAACACAGTGCAGTCCAAAAAAAAAATGGACTTTGGGGATGCATATATGTCATTTCTATTATCTTCAATGGGGAGGGTTGATTTGAGATAAGAACGATCTGAATCATTGTACTCAAAACTCCGGGCACCTTATTAGCAAAATGCTCTCAAAATTATGGATAGCCAAAGAGAGAGTTTTGAGTAGACCAGTCCCTTCGCATTCCCACGAGTGCTCTATACTACAAAGGGTTAACATCTGTAGGTGATGTAAAATGCCTTTTTTTCTTTTGCTACTTTAAAAACATCTCACATGCAAGTTGTCAACACCTTCAGGCGCTACAGTATGCAATGGTTGGCCCTCTGATGAGGTGTTTCAGTAAATTCCAGTTCATTAGGAAGTTAATTAAATAGCTATTGTATTGTTTAGTGATAATGCATTTTTTCATCACTTAATTGAAGTCCCAAATAGAGAACCACAAGATAGACTTGGTGCACAGGCTAATCAGAACTCATGGGAGAACAGAGTGGAGAGAGATGGTGGCCAGGGAAATAGGGAAGAAGGGTAAGGGAAAACAACAAGAGAGTAGGATGGAGCAGAGCACAATGAGGAGAATGTGGATGGAAAGTGAATAATTCAAGTAAGTGTAGGATGAGGATTTGATGCATAGGCTTCATTCAGGTTGACATCGACCAAAAACATTTTCTGTTGACTGCAAATATATTATAGGAGAATGTATTTGAGTGTGGCTCAGTCAAGTTTTTTTCAATTTTTAAACACATTCCCTTAATAATTCCAACAAACTCAAGTTGATCAAAGCTGAACACGGGCACTGCTAAAATACTCAAGCAATGTGAATCGGCTTGCTTATTGAAAACACCGAAGAAATTTGATCTTTGCAGCGACATGTTGTCACAGATTCTCCGAGACGGACGGACAGACAGACAGATAGATACATAGATAGAAAATGTGGCCCTCACCTCTTCAAATATAGGTTTATTGTTGTTCACATCATCAACTCCCACAATAACACGTGCAGTGGACGAGAGTGGGTGCACCCCGCCCGATGCATTGTCATCTGTGGCTGTTACATTCAGGATGTACTCGAGGCCTTGAAGCTCGGGCAGGGGTGCGGAACGGAGTCGAATCAATCCTGCAAAGAACACGGATCGATTAAACGACACAGATCGTGAAAATGCAAACTGCATGTGGTCAGGTGGCAGTACAACAATGTGAAAAACAGACATGTCGCTGAAATCCGAAAAACAATTTCACAGTGGTGACTTGTCACATCTCAAATATGTGTTGTATCAACTCACAAGATTTCCTGCTACTTCATCCACTTAAAAACAACAACAACAAAGTATTGAGTAAATCAGGTTAGACGTTAACCAGGCTCAGCAGTTGGTGTTCTTCTTGGACCCCTCTGTCTACTTTCATTGAACTGTCAAGATCAAAGGTGGGATGAAAAGCTGTAGCCTGTGAGTTAACATCTTTGTCGTTAACAGTAATACAGACATGATCAGCAGAGGTTGCAGAATGAGAAAGCAGCCTGTGAAGTGCGAAAAAGTCATTGAAGTTCGAGCACAAAGAGGCTTCTTTATTCTGGTGTTGTGATTCGATTCATCTCTTTCCATGCTCGTGATTGAAGACACAGAATGCTGATACACAGATGTGAGCTCGACACTCCTCTTGGCCAATGTATTTGAGGTTCCGGCTGCCCATAGAGGCTTTGCGCCTAATAGTAACGTGTGACATTGTCAGCAATACAGCACAGCATTAATATAAGTCAGTTGCGGGACGTACACAACCTAAATGTCAACCTTGTTTACCAATGACATGAGCTATTTAATGAGCCAGCCCTCTTTGCGTACACGGCACGGGGAACGGAAGCCATGTAGTGGAATTTCAGGAGACAAAGGATATCGGCTTCAAAGTTTTCTTGCTTTGAGGATACAGAGAAGTAGAGAAAAGGAATATAAAAATGATGACACAAAGAGAAGAGGCCCTTGCGGAGCGCAGCCTGGAGATTGTAAAGTATGATAGCGCAGTTGTTGTGAAATTGAATTGAAGGGGCTGGGGGACAAATGCCATAGCGATTGCTGCTGGTTTTGGATCAAAGGGTAAAAAAGAGAAAAACATACACTATTCTGTCATCTCTGTTGGAAAGCCTGGAATTGCCATAGAAAATTCCTTTCAGTCAGAAAAATCTGAAGAATTTTCCTTAACAATGTCACATTCAATATTTATGAGCATTATGACAGGAAGAGCAGCACTCGCATCAAAATTACCTTTTTGAATATGAACACATCAAATCTCTTCTAGGTGAAACTGAAAGTAAAGGGCGCTCATGTCACAGGAATTTATGAAGGAAAATTGAATATGTGATTTGGTGGAGTTGTCTTGACAATTAGAGTAAGAGCAAATGTGAAGAATGCCTGTGAAATGAAGAGGCATCACCTTTCTGGCTGTCAATGACAAAGTTTCCCTCCTCATTTCCAGCCGTTATGGAGTAGTTGATCCCATCACTATCGGGATCTTTGGCAAGGACTGTGGCGACAAGGGTGTTGGGGCCTGCATCCTCTGAAACAAACGTTCGATATCTGCACAGAAAAAAACGTTTAACAAGGGCAAAGGATGAGCCGGCGGATGAGACTAATAGTTGCGGCTTTTCTGTGTCACTGTGATTTAACCTTTCTTCTTAGCTGGCCAGACCAGGAACAAATGATAGCGTCTGGTGGCATGCTGGAGTTATTGCACAAACGGTGCTTTTGCATCCTAAGTCGACCGTGGGCTATTCGATCCAGTACCTTTTAAAATGTCAACAGTGATTTGCCCGCTCTGAAGTGCCGGGCAGTGAGATGCCCAGCAAGACACAGGAGAGCGATTTACCCCCTCTGGAACACACTACTCTGAGCTGGGGATGAACTGTGCCTCTTGGAGGACACTCCAAGGAAGAGAAATGGAACATGGTGCAGAGGGCACAAAAGAAAGATGGTACTGATGTGATGAGCAAAGTAATATGCGAGGGGTGAGAGGTTCATGAGGAAAGAGGAAAGCAAAAGAGTGAGAGCAACAAAGTAAGTGGTGGGTGGGGGGGGGGTTCTTTTTCCTTTCTTTCTCACAGAGTTTAACTTGACTCATCAGCAGAAGTCCTCCTCTGTAAGATTTGGTGTTGTTTCCAGTGTAACTACTGTATGAGTGTGTTCGCAGGGTGATGGCAGTGGGGTGTTGGTGTCTGCATTGACAAGTCAGAGGTGATTGATGGTTTAAAGAATAGCACCGATGGGTGATTCATCTCCGCCGAGCCGCAGCGGGGTCCAAAATTGAATATGTGATTTGGTGGAGTTGTCTTGACAATTAGAGTAAGAGCAAATGTGAAGAATGCCTGTGAAATGAAGAGGCATCACCTTTCTGGCTGTCAATGACAAAGTTTCCCTCCTCATTTCCAGCCGTTATGGAGTAGTTGATCCCATCACTATCGGGATCTTTGGCAAGGACTGTGGCGACAAGGGTGTTGGGGCCTGCATCCTCTGAAACAAACGTTCGATATCTGCACAGAAAAAAACGTTTAACAAGGGCAAAGGATGAGCCGGCGGATGAGACTAATAGTTGCGGCTTTTCTGTGTCACTGTGATTTAACCTTTCTTCTTAGCTGGCCAGACCAGGAACAAATGATAGCGTCTGGTGGCATGCTGGAGTTATTGCACAAACGGTGCTTTTGCATCCTAAGTCGACCGTGGGCTATTCGATCCAGTACCTTTTAAAATGTCAACAGTGATTTGCCCGCTCTGAAGTGCCGGGCAGTGAGATGCCCAGCAAGACACAGGAGAGCGATTTACCCCCTCTGGAACACACTACTCTGAGCTGGGGATGAACTGTGCCTCTTGGAGGACACTCCAAGGAAGAGAAATGGAACATGGTGCAGAGGGCACAAAAGAAAGATGGTACTGATGTGATGAGCAAAGTAATATGCGAGGGGTGAGAGGTTCATGAGGAAAGAGGAAAGCAAAAGAGTGAGAGCAACAAAGTAAGTGGTGGGTGGGGGGGGGGGTTCTTTTTCCTTTCTTTCTCACAGAGTTTAACTTGACTCATCAGCAGAAGTCCTCCTCTGTAAGATTTGGTGTTGTTTCCAGTGTAACTACTGTATGAGTGTGTTCGCAGGGTGATGGCAGTGGGGTGTTGGTGTCTGCATTGACAAGTCAGAGGTGATTGATGGTTTAAAGAATAGCACCGATGGGTGATTCATCTCCGCCGAGCCGCAGCGGGGTCCGTGGCATCATGGCTGACCTGTAATCTGTCACTCAGCTCAGAGGCAACCTCACCACAGCAGTGGGGCTAAAACATATTCGCTCCCTTGATTTGTCTTCCTGCAGAATCTTCCAACAGTTCAGCAAATTATCAGGCTCCATGCAACACAGAGCGGTGTCCTACATTAAGAATCCAGAATATTTACATTCGTGCTCTTCTGCTTGTCTGCCCCTCACTTGTAACTCATTTAAATGTGAACTGAGAGGACCACTCCAGGGAGTGTTGGATTATTTTAAGAAGTCTGGTGTTACTTTTAATTTCATACACAGAGCAGGCCAGAAACTGTCACTGTGTTTGTGATTTTTATGGCCATTCTTCCATCGTTGTTCATCAGGAACCACAGCCAAACTTCACCTGGCAAAAAGCCTGCAATTCAAAGTCATAGCAAATCTGACAAAGAGTTGTGTGATTGCTGACAGCCTCCACTGTTAATCTGCATCTCTGTGACGTCAGTCTCTTGTCATGTCTCTTGCCTTATCTGCTTTTTGATCAAATTAACAGAGCATCTTTTATGAAGCTCATCAGGAAACGTAGAATTCATATTTCGGAAAGCGTTCCACTGAATGCAAACAGACACATGAAAACAACAGAGAACCAAAAACTGTCGAGTAATTCGATACTCACAAGTACATGTAAGGTTAACCTATTTGAAGTTTTCAACGAACGAAACCTCATATTTATATCTGGCCTTTTGTGTCCATTTGCACCTACTTTGAAGTGTTTGGGTAGCAGCATTGCGTATCTGATGTGATCCTCACATTTCAACAATGTCTGGCTCGCAATGACAGGGTATGTCCAATTCAGTCTTCCAATCCAGCCACACCGGCACGTATCTAATTCATGATTTTGTTCGTGTATGACACAAGTGTGATATGTATCTGAGGATATCCAATGCCATGCATGCTTGCACAGAAATGATGGAAATGGTAGCAGGGAAAACATTTAGAAGCGTTTGACTTGAACACTATAGTGTAAAATGTGTTTCCGTGAGTTTAAACCAGACATACAATGCTATCCAGGGGATCCTTAGGTTTACAACGGAGTTCTGTGTTGATGCACATTGAATTTGTGTGTAAATTGGAAGGCATCATACTCAATCACGAACAAACTTAAATGTAATGATAAAAGCTCAATTATGGTAAACATTTGTCGGAAAAATGCTTTTAGGCCATAAATTAGAGTAAAAAAAAGTAGTATCACATTTACTGAGCATACCTTCGTGTGCCACATAACATGTTCTTACACCGCCGTGCTAACTAGTTGATTGATTCCTATTCATCACCTGAAAAATGTTTTTATGGGATCTTTTTAAAGCAAGGACGTCTGTAAAGGAAACGACAGAACAAATGAATGGGTTTATCTTACCCTGTCTACACACATGATAACTTCATCCCAACATCGTGCATATTGTTGAAAATTCGATTGCGTATAGCTTACTGGGTAGAACTTCATAGGTGTACAATATTACCCTAAAGCTGACAGGTCTTGCGAGCTGAAACAAGTTTATTTGTCACCTAAGGCAGGCAGGCAAGTTTGCTGTGTGATACAACAACCTGTATCTCTGACGCAACTACCTTTCTGTCCGAGAACAAAGTTTACCTGACATTTAAAATGCCCCACTGAAAGATGATGCCGCAGCACAATGTTTTTGAACATCACCTTGTTTGTGGAGCATCTTCTAGTTAATGTGTGAAAGGGATCAAGAAAAAACTGTAATTATCTCTTATGAAAGTAATATTTAGAGGCGTGCATATATGTCATGTTCTGACTTGATTGTGTTTCAGCTTCAGCTGGATTGATGGGGGTTTCCCATAGAGCAGGCGCACATGTACCGCGTTTCCCCATCAAGCCGTACTGTGTATTTAAGGACATTGTCGGATTATTGACCTTGCTCGCTGTTGTGCTTCAAATGTTATTTTCTAGTCCTCTTGATACTATTCTTAGTCGCTCTAATTTTGCTCATAGATCATGCTTGTAAGAATTTTGGTTATTCTATTATTGCTCTTGATCATTTTTGTCTTACTGGATTTTTGATATTTTGTTTGTGTATTCTCTGTGTTCAATTGAACCTTGCCCATGCAAGCACTTTTTGTTTCATGCATTGTTTTACCTAGCTCCTTGTGACCAGCGACTTCAGTTTATACTTTGTCGATGCAATTTTTTTTAATACATATTGTTGTTATCACACTTGGAGCCTGCATTTTTGGAATCCAAACACATTCATTTCGGTCTGAGCCTGATAGAATAATCCGACCATGATTACACAGCTAGGCAGTCCTTAAATACACAGCAAGGCTTGATGGGGAAATGCCCTTCACTCCAGCTGGAGCTGAAATACTACTAAGACAGAACATGACGATATACACGTGCACACTGAACTTGAAAAGACATACAGTACTTTTTTCAGTCAGTAATTGTTCATCAATATGCACCCTGCCATATGATGGTGCCGAGTCAATGGTGTACCCCTTCTCTCGCCCAACGTCTGCTGGGATAGGTCCCAGTTCACCCACGACAAGCAGTCGAGAAAATGGATGGCTTACAAGGCAAATGTTGGACGTTCTCCTGAATATTATTGAGGAATGGCATACAGTACGCGGTAAAATGACTCACACAAGCTGGGAGAATTCTGGGGCTTCATCGTTGACATTAACCATCCTCACACGGACGGTGGCAGTGCCGGAGTGGGGCCCGTCACCGCCATCCACTGCCATCACCACAAATTCATAGAGATGGTTCGGCCTCTCGTAGTCCAACCGAACTGCAGGGAATATGGTTCCATGTGGCGAAATGCTGAAGTCCGGGCTCAGGGTGTAATATGTTAGCTCAGCGTTTAACCCAGAGTCACAGTCAGTGGCCATCACTGGCAACAGGGGCATAAAATAAAATAAAATACAATTAGATTCTTTATATCTTCATCAAACTCAGCAGGTAAATTTAAAGTGTAAGCTTCATTGTTCCATTCCTACATGTAGGATGATGGAATGTCTCTCCCATGTGTCAAACAAAACCTTGACTTGCAATTACCTGTGGAGCCAGCCACATTTCGCAATTTACTACATCTTTTAGCACTGTTTTCCCTTCTGTGAAAGCACATCATGTGCCCCCCCATCGAAATTATTAGACTTATGTTAAGAGCTATCTTTTCTTTAAGTAATGCAATGTTTAACTGCGACGTATATGTTAAAAGCAAGCACTCGGCCTAAACATCTACCGGTAGTTTTGTTCATTCTCCAGGGCTCCTTTTGCACTGTTTTTGTGCCAGTGCATTGGTTTGAAACTGTTGCCATTTCCTGTCACTGTTCGCTTTGCAGTGTACACCACTGCAGGGTGTATGTTCCACTCTTTTCAGACTAAATTCTTGAAATGTGCCCACACAGAATGGGTTCCAAAGCACACAACTCTTAAGAACCGAGGAATCACCTATGATGGCCCAGAGGGGACAGGCAGTCCACCATCACTTGGACATTTGACTAAATACTTAATCACTTACTGTCCAACATATTTAAATCTAAAATGCAGAGGTGTTTGCGTTGAATGTTTTTGTTTGTGTGTGTGTGTGTGTGTGTGTGTGTGAATTACCTGTGGAGCCAGCCACATTTCGCAATTTACTACATCTTTTAGCACTGTTTTCCCTTCTGTGAAAGCACATCATGTGCCCCCCCATCGAAATTATTAGACTTATGTTAAGAGCTATCTTTTCTTTAAGTAATGCAATGTTTAACTGCGACGTATATGTTAAAAGCAAGCACTCGGCCTAAACATCTACCGGTAGTTTTGTTCATTCTCCAGGGCTCCTTTTGCACTGTTTTTGTGCCAGTGCATTGGTTTGAAACTGTTGCCATTTCCTGTCACTGTTCGCTTTGCAGTGTACACCACTGCAGGGTGTATGTTCCACTCTTTTCAGACTAAATTCTTGAAATGTGCCCACACAGAATGGGTTCCAAAGCACACAACTCTTAAGAACCGAGGAATCACCTATGATGGCCCAGAGGGGACAGGCAGTCCACCATCACTTGGACATTTGACTAAATACTTAATCACTTACTGTCCAACATATTTAAATCTAAAATGCAGAGGTGTTTGCGTTGAATGTTTTTGTTTGTGTGTGTGTGTGTGTGTGTGTGTGTGTGTGTGTGTGTGTGTGTGTGTGTCTGTGTGTGCATTTGCAAGTAAATATTATCATATTGCATATCCCTGCTGTTTAATATAATTGACAAAAAGTCAACATGCTGAGAGTAATCCCTCTTGTAATTTTGTTCAAACAGCCAACTCTGAATTTGATTCAAGCCTCATTTAGCATAATCATCATTTATCTTGGACAAAACCAATGGCCATACAAACAGTCTCAACCTCACACTTGATAATCATAAGGCAACCTTATGCAGCAGAGATAAACTGACATGCATACTGTGTATACTCACATCTAAGAAATCCCCCAAAATGCATGATTTTTTTTTTTTGTCAGCTCATTAAAGACCCCAAGATAATAATGAAAAATACCTCACTTTACAATTTATAAACCTGAAGAAGCATTGTGAGTCAAACCTAAGGTTTTCTTAGAAAAAAATAGACTTCAATTTGTCCTTAGGTTTCTCCTTAGGGCTCTTGTTTTGGTCGATCTGCTATTTGTTTGTTTGTTTGTTTGTTTAATGGTTTTCACTACACTGTGAGGATGGAGGAGTTGGACTTAAAACATCGGGTCAAGTGCTTACCCTGCAGCAGAGATGTTGCTGTGGTTACCGTTTCTGGAACTCCATCCACGCTGTAGATGGACTGGAGGAACTCTGGGACACAGTCGTTCTCATCTGTTATCAGTACTTGAACCTGATTAGCATCACAGAAAAGGAGAAGAGAGGAGAAACGAAACCTGAGTAGAAATACAAAATTTAGCTTCTCCCCTTTAAATCCAGGAGACCACCATAATACTTTTTTTTTTTTTTCTGGACAGAAGCCTGACCCCAAAATTAAATCCAAATTGTATTTTGCCCTTTCAAGTCACCAGTTCATCCCATCCTTTATCTTCCATTCCATAATTCCTCTAGAGTCCAAAATAGAAATGTTCATGATCATGTGCGAGCTTCACTGTGTGTTTTAGACAAAAGACCCTCCACTGCCATCCAAGCCTACAAGCTCTGTGTCACCGTTGCATGTAAAGTGTGAAGTGACAGCTGAGTAATAGTCCTAAAATAGCTGGGAAAGGTTTTCCGAGGCTCTGGCTTCTATTCCACAACATGCCGCTGAGCAGAGGAAGATTTCCTTCTCAATCCGTGGAGTGGAGTAATTGCCTGTCATAATAATTGGGATACAAACTCTTTGGATTAATAATTTACATGAAATCAGACTGAATTCATGAATACTTTATCTCGAAATGTTCTGTTTGTGAATTGCATTTTTAGATTCTGGTTCTGTTGCCAAGTGTGTTCTATATTTCATGCGGTTCATCTTTGGATGATACTTTCAACAACGGAATTACTGTCACCCGCATACAAAAGAGTGAAACAAAGAATGAAGAAAGAAAAAAAAAAGAGAACTTGGGCCTCCGGGAGATTTGCTAGTATTTCAACGTCATGCGTCCATGCAAGGAGAAATAAAAGTTGATTCCCCTTTGCGGTGTCAGCGGGTTAATGCTGAGTTCGAATCATGGCAGCCTTGTCAGCCAATTTGAGACACCGAGCATTTGGGAGGAAGCCAGTTGGTCTGCCACGTTTGCAGGGACAAAGTATTAAAGCGGCATTTTAATTTGAGTGAAATTCAGTCAAGGAAGAATTTTTTTTTTTTCCGTGACATGTAATTACTGTATAATACAGGGCCCATCAGCATTGGTATCATTTTACCATAGTGCCTTCATTTTTCGTGACTCATGTTTAGCAGCTTGGATCACATTATTATGATGAAACTAACCTCTGCAGCTGTGCTCAGGCTTCCCTGATCCTCGTTGGCTCGCACCATCAGAAGGTAGCGTCGCTGGTCACTCTCATAATCCAGCGTCCGGGTCAAACTGATCTCCCCCGACTCCTGCTGAATACTGAAAAGGCTGCTGGGATTGATCAGCAGGCTGTAGCTAATTGGCTGCTTTTGGAAGGAAATGGCAAGCACAGCTAGGAAGCTGTAAAAGAAACACACACAAAAAAGAGAAAAGGACAAAAAGGCCTTAACATTTTCTAAGAAGGGAAATTGCACATTAAAATCCAAACATGTTCTTATGTAAAATCAATAATGAAGCCATCACAAGGCGAACTGGCCAAGTGTTAAGAATCCAGTCAGTTGGTGCTTGTCAATACTTTGTCATAATTTAATTTGATTATGCAGATATTACTGTTTGTAGTCTCCAAATGGCATGCACGGATGTGTCAGCTTAAGTGTGAGTATGTTGCAGGGAGAATGAATCAGCACGACAGGCAGGTACATGCTGTCACCCAAGTCCCTCATGTCTGAGTTTGTACACATCAATATTTACTCTTTTGGAAATTGATGATATTGAAGGCTAAAACTCAATGCTTTTGTCAGTCGTATCATTTCTTGCATGCAGATAAAATGTGGACAAACACAGATTGGGCTAAAAGATGCTGTATCGATATAATGCCATTGGATTGAGTAGCGGGATACATGCTTCGCGTGTTTTAATATCTTTACCGATTTTTTTAAATATTAGTGACCCCCACCAATGATGAGGAAAGCGTCAGCATTTATAAGCCTCCTTTCCTTACCGTTTGGCCTTACTTAAGATGAAAATACTACATAGCACATATTGTACGTCAGGGGGGTCCAAACGTTTTCATTTGAGGGCCACATAGAGAAAAATCGAAGGACGAAAAGCTGTGCACTTAACAGCAGCCGAATGCCATTCTCACATTCAGAACAAACTGTAGTCAGTTGACCATTTTTCAGTTACTTGGGAATCATTAATGTGATGTCTTCATAAATCAGCCAGACAGCACAAAGTGGAAGAAACAATTTTTGCCGCTAAAATCTTGATTCACTACAGTGTTTTGAAGATAAATTGTTATTCTTTTTACCATTTATGATGACCACAAACTTTGTGATCAGAAATATAGATCAGGTTTAAAATTCACAACTGTCAACTCTGACCCTTTTCCAGGCTCCCTAACACACCTCACACAGCATTAAAATTAGTTAGACAGAAACTTGCCGCTTCCAATAAGGGTTGAGAAATGTGAATGTGATGAAGTAATCCAGTTCAGTGTGTTATGTTGGCAAGATAATGATGTTGTTTGCGTGCATCAACCATGATTCATTCCTGTTTACACATGCGCTACTCACGGCTGTCCTTCAGGCGTGTTCTCTGGTATGGAGATGGAGTAGCTCGTATTGGTAAACTGCGGCGGTCGGGCTCCTGCTACCACAGAGAGCATAGCGGGCGCACTGCGTCCGCCCAAGCCGTCAATTGCCACTACACTTAATAAGTACTCTCGGTCCCTCTGAAGCATTTGGTTTGTGGTCACCACTTGGCCTGTCTTCTTGTCCACAGCAAAGCAGCCATCGCCACCTATAAAGAAATACACACACATCATTTCAACAGCTGCACAATATAATAAGTTGAGTTGTGGGGAATTATACTGTATGTGTGTATGCATATATATCTCTCTATCTATATATCTATAGCTATCTATCTATATATATATCTGTAGCTATATCTATCTATCTATCTATCTATCTATCTGTCTGTATTTATTTTATATATATATATATATATATATATATCTATATATATATATATCTATCTATATCTATATATATATATATATATATATCTATATATATATATATCTATCTATATCTATATATATATATATATATATATCTATATATATATATATCTATCTATATCTATATATATATATATATATATATCTATATATATATATATCTATCTATATCTATATATATATATATATATATATCTATATATATATATATCTATCTATATCTATATATATATATATATATATATCTATATATATATATATCTATCTATATCTATATATATATATATATATATATCTATATATATATATATCTATCTATATCTATATATATATATATATATATATCTATATATATATATATCTATCTATATCTATATATATATATATATATATATCTATATATATATATATCTATCTATATCTATATATATATATATATATATATCTATATATATATATATCTATCTATATCTATATATATATATATATATATATCTATATATATATATATCTATCTATATCTATATATATATATATATATATATCTATATATATATATATCTATCTATATCTATATATATATATATATATATATCTATATATATATATATCTATCTATATCTATATATATATATATATATATATCTATATATATATATATCTATCTATATCTATATATATATATATATATATATCTATATATATATATATCTATCTATATCTATATATATATATATATATATATCTATATATATATATATCTATCTATATCTATATATATATATATATATATATCTATATATATATATATCTATCTATATCTATATATATATATATATATATATCTATATATATATATATCTATCTATATCTATATATATATATATATATATATCTATATATATATATATCTATCTATATCTATATATATATATATATATATATCTATATATATATATATCTATCTATATCTATATATATATATATATATATATCTATATATATATATATCTATCTATATCTATATATATATATATATATATATCTATATATATATATATCTATCTATATCTATATATATATATATATATATATCTATATATATATATATCTATCTATATCTATATATATATATATATATATATCTATATATAT